ACCATTATAATATAATAATTTTAGTTAATTTTTGATATAATTACACATACACCACCGATTTTTAAACCTAATGACAAATATATTTTTGAAACATTTTTTTGTTTTTCGATGACTTATTTAGTCAATTATTTGCGAAAACCTTATTTTAAATGTCAAACAATGTGTTATTATATAGCATTAATAAAAATTAAAACATTGAACTCTTTAATTTTAAACAATGATTGAAAAAAATACCTATAATTTATATATCACATGATATATTTGTCAAAAATTAAAAATCTATTTATAAACGTGGACCTTTTTTTTAATTATACGTAGTAAAATAGAAATACCGATTCTGGAAAACTCCACTTATACATACTCCACAACTCATCCTCCTCCTCCGAGTTGCTGTCGCCACTATCACATTTGACGCCACCGTCGCCGCCAAGCTGCCATTATCACCGTCCACCGTACTACGACCATGGGCGCAACTAGGGTAAAAAATCTGGGGAGGCTATAGCTCTCTTACCAAAACTTAAAATAACCTGTAGATTACCCCTACTCTTATATACCATGTTAATATATTTTAGATTCTGAGCAAAGTTGGATTTATTGCAATGTGTATTTTTTTGTTTGTGACACTATTGTGAGTTAAGTATGCTGTATGCGGTATGCCATGTATAACATGGAATTTTTATGTGGGGGCTAAGTCCCTCACCTAGATGCGCTTATGACTACAACCCGCACCACTAACGTCCACCGCCGATATTTATCAGTTTTTCTAATAGATGATATCACTTGTGATAATATTTAATGTGATTATAAGTGATTTTGCCACAGATATTTTTTATTTGACAATGATCTCGTATTTGAAAAAAATAATGAATAAGCTACTAGTGGAAGATAAGTTGTAGAGTATGCGGAGATGGAGTGTTTTAGAATGGACATTTCTATTATACTATATATACTTTTATTGAAAAAATATTTTAAATTCATATCAAAATAATAAGTAAATAAAATATTAAAATGATGATAATTAGGTTTTGGAGAGTCATAAAAAACTTTCAAGTGATAAATGAAAAAAAGAGATAGTTTTAAAAGACTTTTGATATCAAAAAATGCATTTATTATACTAAGACTATAGCAAAAAAAAAAATAAAAATATTAAAAATACCATGTTAAAAGTTACATTGTTAAAACAAAATTTAAAAATAAAATTAATTTTAATTAAATGTCCTTAAAGATAATGGAAGAAATTACTTATGGTAAAACTTTCGTCTGCATAAACAACACGATTTCTATCACTGAAAAATTGAATACGTTACCTTCTACGGTCCAATCAAGAGGATTGCCTGCAATGGCCCCGATCCATCGTATACCCAAAGACAGAAAACGATTTACTTATTTATCGTATTATCCAAAAGAAAATAAACCTACAAATAACTTTCCTTTAGTTGTTGAAAAACATGCATGCAGATTTTCTTCAAACTTTCAAAGATTACCACGTAAGATATAAATATATATATATATATTCAAATTTAATTGCTGGTATTCAATTATAATGAAATAATTACAATTTCATTACTTAATATAATATATTGGTATAATATAATATAATGGTTATAACATTTTTTACAACTCAAATCAAGTTATAATATTAGTCAAACAAAGTTATTGAAATTGGAAATCATTATATACACCTTTTGTCCCAAATAAATATAATTATTTTCACATTTATTAATATTTTAAAGATAGAAATAATAGTTTTTGAAAATTGTAATTGTAATAAATGATTACAATATTATTGTCTTAGCATAAATTAATTTTAATCACAACACGATGTATTAATTATCAAAACAAATATGAAAAACGAGATTTTTATTAGATCATTTTTATTTTATAGCTGTCGCTGAAACTCCACAGAGGCCGAGGGAAATGTCATTTTTTATAAAGCCGCCTCGTTTAAACGTATGTTATAACTTATGATTAAAAAAAAATAGAAATAAATTTCTAATATCTTAAATATTAATTTGTTGTTTTTTCAGTTTTATCAAGATAATTATGATGAAATTCTACAGAGTAGTCAAAAGGCGTGTCCCAAGGGAACAAGGTTCCATGGTTAGAGCAAAAAAAGAAGAAATGTTGGGTAAGTCCAATCAAACGTTTATAATTAATACGTGTTATTAATGTATTTTTAAATTATATGTATTTCAGAATCAGTGCACTGTTATACGTATGTTTATCATACTTGGCCAAAGCCCAAAGGATATTGTTAGAAATTTAACTTAAAGAAATGTATAATGCCTTCCAAAAGGCTTCGTTCAAATCTGACCAACCAATCAAAATGATTATATTATGTTGTATTTATGTTTTTTTAAGTGTTTTTGTATTTTTGATTCTTTTTGTTATTAATTTGTTTATTTTTTTACGAATAAAATGTGTAAAGTCAAATTTTGTAATTTATTGTTATTGCATTATAAACGAGTTAATTACACTCCATTAAAACATTGAGTTTTTTTATTTACAATACATTTTATTTCCATTGAGTTTCTGTGTCATTTTGTCTACATCATATAATTATTAGGGAACCCCGGTGATCGAAACTCCTTCCCCTATCAGTGTTGAGCACAAATAACTTAAAAGTTATCTAGATAAAGATAAAATATAGTAAAAATGTATTAAAGATATTTATAAAAGATAATACAATAAATGTCTAGATAAAAAAAATATGAATGTTTAAATATTGTTATAAACTATACTTCATTAAAATGTTTATTATTTTCTTTATAGTATACATTTTTATATTATACTGTATACCTATTTGTGATAAATTAAAATTTGAATTGTTATTTGACTGCGTACCAAAATGTCATGTTAAAAATAGAAAAATTTAAATTTTCTAAATGTTTAGTTTTTATAAGGTATGCTTACATCATTATACATTATGTTTAAAAAAAAATTTAAATAAATAGTTTTATGGTGTTTTTCATTTTTTAGAGTGTCACAAGTTTATAACTAATAAAATTTATTTATTTGATACCATTTGTAAGTTTCCCAGATGAAATGTATTGCGAGCGAAGCGAGCAATTTCAGTATACAACCTGTATTGAGTGGGTGGTTGGTTAGATGGCATAAATATATTTGGCTCCTTAAATTAAAAATGTTTACCACGTCACTGCAATAGATTATCAATACTTTATATTATTAAAGATATAGTGTAACTATATATACAGTGTATATTGTAACTCTAGAAGAGATATTGGATATATTTGCGAAAAAACCTAAAAGAAAATATCAATGAGATTTTGCCCCGCAGTCATCATAAAATAATAAAGGTTTTTTGTTGAAGTGATTAGTGTTTTTTATTTAAATTTCTATATAATAATAATCATACCTAGAGAAAAAGCCCTCGTATGGATCCTGCAGACTATTAAAACCGGGAAAAAATTTAGAATTATCATCTACGAATTGTTGATTTGCTTGGTAAAATTAGTTGTCATTTTTTTCTGAGAAATACGTCTTAGGAAATTTATAGTATAAATTAATAGCAAACATTTTTTGGAATAATTTCTACGGAGATTTTGAATTATGTTCACAAAAAATTTGCAGTTGCAAAATCACCAACAACATTAATTTTCGTATTTATTACCCCCTCCTTAAAAAAAAATCAGTTAATTATTAATTACTATGTAATTATTTTATTATACTAATCTACATTTTGGGTTATATTTTTTTTATTATTATAAGTAATTACTTTCATGGAAGTGTTATAATGTAGGAAGTTTTATCTACTTAATACTTACCATTCTATTCAAAAATACAATTATTAATTTACATTTTACAATTCCAATTTTTTAAAATTTCCTCTGAAGTACAGCGTACGCCATTTTTTGTACATAATAATTAAATCCATTAATGAATATGAATAATATAGGTACATATATTGTAATATTGAGCTTTATCAACAATAATAATATAAACAAATAATAGTTTTATCTATTTTGGCATATAGGTAAGTATAAAAATAAAAAAGAAGCATACAATGATAGAGTAACAACATTGAAAAACATAATTAAAGTTTAACGAAGAGTATTAAATTTAGCAACTAGGTCAATCTAATACATAAAGTACTTAATACAAATTAATAGGTACATTGTAATTATGCAATAAACTTAGTTTAAGAAGGAATTTTGTAAATAATATCTATGAATATTACAGCCATTCAGAAGTTACAATACAACAAATATTAATCACTTAAAAGTAAAAAACATATTTAAAAACTTTGTAAGTTATCTAATGCTTAATTGAAATTACTATTGCATTTCTTTCTAGATTATACATATTTTAGTAGTTATTATAATACATAAGTATATTTTTGTATCAATATTAATTTTATTAACATAAATTTATATATTATAATAATTACACATAAAAAATATTAAATTCCTAATTCAGAATTTGAATTTAAAATGATCTAGTGTTTCCATTAAACTAGGAAATTTTACTCTGCATTGTATTGGTTGTTGAGTTATTAAATTATTAAAATAGTTCTTAATTTTCTAATTTTAATACATAAACATCAGAATAACATATCAAGTAATAATAATTAGTAATAATGTTATTACAAAATCACGGTCGGTGATAGACTAGCAAAGAATAGACATTTTAATAGTGTAGAAATATTATAACAAAAGTTTGACTAATTCAATGGAATGAAATGAGAACCTAACATTAAAATACATTGTATAATTATAAATTATAGAAAAGTTTAGAGAAGAATAGATTATCTTGAAATACTAATATTTTCTAAAATATTTAATGTTAAATCATGAATAATATTTTTATATAATACAATAAACATTTTAAATATTTAATAAATTGGAATTTTAAAATATCTAGATACAATATAAATAATATAAATATCATATTGTGTCAATTTATATAGTAAAATATTTTTAGAAGCTTTAAATTATTTGTATACAAATGTTTGTTCAATGAATAAATAAGATAAATTTGATACGCTAATATTTGACTTCAGAATAAATTCCAGACATCTATTTTAATTTTATGAATCAATGTCTTCTATTTCTGTAAAATGCAAAATTTCTAGCATTGAAATATCTCAAACTATGTATGCACTTATATTTATAATAACAATAATTTTAAAAATCATAAAAGTATTTGCTGTAAGAATCAATGTAAGTTAAAAAGATAAAATACAACAACTGACATTTTAACAAGTTCCGAGGTAAATATTAAAGTTCAGTAATCATGGTTGATGTTAAAGCTTGAACTCTCTTAGCATTACAACTTTTGCACAACACATGGTCATCTAGTGGATAACATCCTCTACCTTCAGCTTCTGATCCTAACAAAGTATCACAATCCTAGAACAAATTAAATAAAACATTTAATTTAAATTATAACAAGAATATTATTTTGTATACAAAAATATTTGAATGCCAAATTACTGACTTCACATCTGTAGCATTGCACATGAAAGCTTCGGTCCAACGCAACAAATCTTACTGTTTCATCTTGACCAGCTTCTGGCATTATGGGAAATTGACATACACTGCACTTCGGAGCAAATTTTCTGTAAATAATAAAAAATTGTAATTATTTTAAAATATAAATTATTGTATTATTGAATGGAATGGTAAGCAGCAAGTATATATAAATTCCTACATTACACTACTTATTTTCATGAATTTACTTGTAATAATAAAAAAAAAAGCCCAAATTGTAGATAATCTGATAAAATAATTACATAGTAATTAATAATCAACTGATTTTAATTTTTTTTTTTTTTTGGGGAGGGGGAATAATTAAGTTAAAATTGAGAGCAATATATTTCGACAACTAATTTATATTTTATAATTTAAATATCTTACTTGTGAAAATCATCAATACAATAAATTTGATTAGCTGCATCAATAGTGAAGGGTATACCATCCAATAATGTAGAACAAACAATACATCGAAAACAGTGTGGATGATATGGACGTCCTGTGGCTCTTAGGATTCTATCTAAAATTGGTATTTGACAAACTGAGCATTTTTCCAATGTATCCTAAACAAAACACAAAGTAAATATGAGAAAAATTTTTTTAATTCTTACAAAAAAACAACTTATTAAATATTTTAATAATACAAAAATTATTCAATTTAATTCAGTATTAATAAATTTAATGTTGTTAGGAAAAAGATAGTCAATGAGTTAAATAAATATTCAGAAAATAGCTGCACAGTAAATTGTCATTTACTGTTATTAATATGTCATTATTAGGGCTGAGAATTTGTAGGAAAGGGCATTTTTTTTTTTGTGATTGTAAAACGTAGCTTTATAAGTACATAATTTGAATTACATCACTACGAATCCATTTATGCAACTTTTATTTTGCATTTTTTCACGTTTTTAACTTTTTCGGTCATTTTTGTGCATTTATAGGTCATATTTTCCTTTTTTAGTTAATTTTCTGGTATTTTTAATCAAATTCTAAAGATTAAATTAGGTACCCGAAAATAAATATATTAAAGTTTTTTTTATTATTTTAACAAAATAAATACTAAAATATAGTACATAAGTATAGAAAAATCAAATTCAATCAAAATTTTTTTTTTTTTTATCAAATAAACACTTATTTATGCATTTAATGTACTAATGTATAATATCCTGTACCTAATATTAATATAGATATAAAAATTAAATTAAAAATCATTTCATACTATAATTTTTGGAATTTTATATTGAATTTTTTTACATTTTAATTGTATTTTTTTGAAATTTTTTAATGCATTTTTTAAGGTCCTTTAGTGCATTAAATTCACAACCATAGGCATTATAAATAATTAACAATATACATTAACAAGTTAGAAAATATTGCTGTTGATAATAATTATAGAAATACTTAAAATAAAAATGGCTTTTGAAAATTGTTCAGTTTTTTCATATAAATTTAATTACTTGGGTTAATATATAAAAAAAAGTGAATTGTTCTTCTATAATTTTATTGTGAAAATGATTTACCTTTTATACTCAGTCACTAATGTTGTTGATCTACATTTATTTATTTAATATTTAATATTAATATTAAATCAATTAATGCAATGATATATATATTTATAGATATTTAAATATTTAAACTATGATCAACATTTTACTCACCAAATAACCTTCCTCACAATATGGTTTATTATCAATGTGATAAAATGGCTTTCCTTCCAACTGATCTCCACAATGAGTACAAGTAAAACATTTGATATGATAAATATTATTCATTGCTGTGCACCCAAGACCTTCTTCCATAACTTTTTCATTGCATTTAGTACAGTTCCCTATCAAAAGGAAAATTGATTAAATTGTTACTAATATAAAATAAATGATGTAAATAATTATTATTCTTAAAGCTGAAACTTACAATCTACACAACTTGCATTATTGTCTAAGCTTTTTTTTCCATCATTTACAGACATTGAATTAACTAGGAGATCGGTTAAAGAATCAACTTCAGTTTCATGTTCATGAGCAGAAACAGATTGTGAGAGACTGTTCATGGAATATGTAGATGATAATTCACTAGGTGGACGAACAGCATTTATAGGCTCATAGATGGATTCATACATTTTTGATGCCTGAAAGATGAATATATACAAAATTTAAATGATGCATACTAAAAGAATAATTTTATTAACTAAACTTACCTGCGAGGAAGAGTTATCAAAGTCTTTTGCATCATCTTCAAAACTAACGGCCTTTTGAAGTTCAGAGTAGCTAGAACTTACTGGTGATGGAGGGCAGTGTAAGTTATCTTTACCTAAATCAAAAATATATAATAATAACAAAATACTTAGTGCATTCATACAAATAATAAATCAGCAACAAACCTAAGTGTTTCAAATTATCATACAATGGGTATTGAGTATTTTTATAAGTAGATTTGCCTGTTTCACTGATGTTGGAATATATGTTGCTGGATTTCGGTGCATAATTCACATTGCTGTAAATAGCTTTCGAAGGCTGTGCTTTTTTGTTTATGACTGTATTGTAATAAGTAGGTTCATTTTGAGCTGTCAATTTTTGGTTTTTGTATTTTGTATCGGACACATTGGCGTATAAAGGACTAGACGGTTTCTGATACATAGTTTTAGTTCTAGAACAGCACAGAAGAAATTTAAGTAAAAACGAATGGTCATTTGCGAGGGACTGTATAAACAAATGATAAAAAATAAACGCGTACAACTAAAAAACTCTATTTTGCTTACCTGGTAAAATCTATCGATCCGGACCCGTGAACGGTTCCTTGTTTCAAAGTACTTTGTTTTCACAATACGAGTCACGTACAACTAATCGATGAGTGGTAAATATTATGAGCAATAGTATTGTAGTTCTAATGAGTAACAATGCATAAAACGAGAGATTACAATGTGTATAAATCATTATTTTTGTTTGATAACGAGCAATCGGATTGATAAAGCATGACGTCATTCTCATGTATTGACGAATTCATGGAGTAAAAAACGTCGTCAAGACACGACGGAACGTAGTACCGCCACCAAAATACATAATTTTATGACAAATATTCTATTGATTCACGATGTTATCCAGAATCCACGATAATCTCTATTGGTGAGCAATGTACCCATTTATACCGTTACAATTGTGACAGTCGATCGATGCTTTCGAAGGACCGTAGTTACCGATCAAGTTCTTGCGTTTTAAGATAGTGCTGAAACTCGCTAGGGGTCAATCTAGAGATTGACTGCTCATGTCATCCCCAAATAAAAATTCCCCTTCCCGCCGTTGACGGAAATCATAGAATTGTAATTATTGTAAATGATTCTTGAGTAAAAGATTCGAATTTTATTTTGGATACTATACGTGACTGATCTTAAAACACGTGCATTGCATTATTTTTATTGACATAATGTACAGACTGATCACTGATCAGAATTTTGTGCGATTGCGGTTTTGCCATAAAAATATGAATATTCAAGTAGCAGAAATGATTATGATAGAGAACTTTTCTGAAACATGTCTGAAGACTTTATGAAATAGTTTATGTTGTTTAAATTTTTTTCGAAAATGTTAAAAAAAAAAAATTAACTCTACAGTAAAATGTGCAGCATAATAATTTAGATCATCTCCAGGGGGGTGAGGATGCAACAGGAACATTTTGTTTTAGACCCCAGCCTAGAAAAATTTAAAGAGAGCCGAAAGTAGGAGTGAATTGAAAATTTAAACTCACCAAAATATTTTTCTGGCTACCTCACTGGTAAGACGACCCAACTTTTCACGTATTTTAAAGATATTTTCGAACAAATAATACGAATAATAAACAATTATAATGGTATTTTCTTTCTTTTGGCAAATACACATTAATATTGTAAAACAAACGTTCCCGATGTTGCCAATTGATGGTCAGCGAAATCCATGTAAATGTTTTCTATAAACTGAGTTAGGCAATCGTCAGTGTATCGACATACTATATGACATAAGGTACAAAAATTACCTATCATTTGCGCCAAAATGTGTAGTACATAAGCGCCAATCTAATATTGTATACCTGTTATACCTAACATTTAATATAAGTGCCAAAATTAATGTTTTATGTAAGTATTTATTTAAAAATTGCAATTTTATAAAAAAAAATATCAATAATAAATTATGATATACATTATACATGCAAATAAATATGAATTTAATAAATTGGTTGATTTTTTAATTTTACTTTTTTCACATATCTGTACTTTTATACATTTGCACTACATTTATTACACACTGTGCGTACCTAGGATTTTGAGCGCTTTTGTACGATACGGCTTTAATTTTTATTATCTCATTTTGGCGCTTATGTCTTCAACCGGTGTCGCCGATCCCTAACCCAGGTAGAACAGATGCCCTAAATTAAAAAAAAAAAAATCCTTATAATTAGCATACAATCGTACTCATTTGGTTTTAACACACAATATCAATAACGGAGTTAAAAATATCAAAGTAGTAGTCGATAATAAATTTATCATCACATCATTTAAAATTTTACGCCGGGGATGAATCCTCGTCTTCCTCCTCCTGGTTCCGCCACTGACTATACATAGGTACGTAAGTATTACAGATATTATTACATCGGTATTTATTCACATGAGCTTCTCTACGTTTTCTTGGTCGGATTATTCATCAATGAATAAAGAATTTAAGTAGAGATGACTGCCAAATGGTTGCTTATCATACGCATTATGTGTAACACATAACATACACACGCACACGTCTGTGTTGGCGCACGACTTACATACCTATATAATATATACATGTAGTTAACTTTCTCTATTCAATTCCGATTACATCTGACCGGATACTGTAAAACAATTATTATTATTATCATTATTATTATTATTATTATTATTGTTATTATAATTATTATCTTCGTGTGCCGATATTATCTACCGATGGATTGGTCATATAGATAGTAGTATACGAGCAAGGTATAACGGAATCGATAATAGATCATGATAATAACTGACAATAAAAGAAATCATTTGATAATGGAAATATGATTGTGTACATTACATAAGCAAAAGTGATAAATTAATCGAAGATAACTTATTGACATACCGAATAAGTTTTACTCGTAAAAAAAAAATAGTCTATCTTAAGTCGTAATTATAACTTTGCCTGCAATTTAACATTAAACACATTTTTAGGTATTATTATTGTTTTAAACCCTTCATAAATAGTCGTATGATAAGTTGTTTTTATGGACGTTAGGAACGTTTTAAAACAATATTTTGTTGCTAAACCTCAAATACTTGGTTAAGAAAGGAGTATTCCTCATTGGTAATAAATACAGTTAATAATATTTCCTCTTATTTTTATAAATAGTTTTACGTTTTTAAGCTTTCACTTGGACGTGTTTCAAATGTAATTATTTTATTTTATACATTTATTTAACGTTTATTAATAAAATTGGAAATAATAGTTTTTATTTTGAATAAATCAAAGAATTAATTATTTTAAAAATCAAATAAAAATATATTAAACAACAGTTTAATTATGTTTTAAATTTCGTGTGCTTATAGTTTAATTGTTTAATATTTTTTTGTTTTAATTAAATTACCATTTAATTCAACTTCCATACATCAAAATACTGTAATATATAATTGATAATATATCATAATAGTTGCATACTACCATGGTATATGCAATGTTATAATATTAATATGCAGATTTACGTTAATTAAAAAATAGAATTCCTTCAATTTTATATTTTATTATAAGAATGTGTTTTATGATTTTCTTAAGCAATAAATATGTATTTGATCAGTAAAAGTAAAAATAAATGTTCTTACCCAATCAATATATTGCAAATATTCGTATTCATTGAAAATATTATGTTTACTATAATTTTGAGTAAATCAGTAAAATCTAATTTCCCAGTGATTATCAATGTAATTTGTAGACTGGATACTTTGAATGTAATACATTAATAAGTATTAATAACTAACTATTATCAATATTTCAATACAAATTTATAGGTATTTTACGTTAAAAAAAAATATATATAAAAATATTACTGACATATACACAAAATTGTATAAAAACAATTTTGGCGCCCCCCTGAAAATGGCGCCCTAGGCGACTGACTCGCCTTACCCTCACGCCGGCCCTGAGTGCAGTGATGGCGAACCTATGTCACGCGTGTCACGGAGTGACACGCGCGCATTATTTCAGTGACACGCCAATTTAAATATAATTCATAAATTATACTTCACTTTCTAAAAAAATTATTGATAATTTGAAACTATTTTTAACTTATTATTGGAATATATCGTAAGATATTGTAATCTGTACTTTCCATTTCCTAAGCTCGTAAATGAAACGATTTGATTATCAATAAATTCGTTTATCGTGTTTACGTAACAAAAGTAGGTACAACAGAACAGTCGACAGTCGTTAACAGATTTAAGATGTAAAGTTTAAATATTTTATATACCTAATAACAAATAAAATAATGTTTATATGTTTAATTAATTATTTTTTAAGCAAAAAAAAAGGTCTGCATAGTTTCTGACACGCGAGGCAAATAAAATCAAATCAAAAATTTTGATTTGACACGTAAATATCAAAAGGTTCGCTATTCCTGGATTAGTGTCAAATATTCTAAATAAGTTTTAACGAGCATTATAATTTTCTATGATTGCTGAATTCCGGAAAATGTTCAACATTTTAATTTATTGAATATTTAGTTTAACGTGTAATACTATAATAGACTGTATGAATAATTGAAAAATCTGTTACAAAACAAAAAAAAAAATTTTATTTATTTTTTTAACAAACAATGAAACATTTTGCTTAAAGAAGCCAAAAACAGTAGTAATGAATAAAATATAATAATTTTCATACTGTTTTGTAGTATTTTTATTTAAAAATAAATTAATAATTATTAAATAAATTAAATATTCTTTGTAGGTATGTGATTTACACAATAATTTAAATGGATAATATTATATAGATATTCTTTAATTAGTATACATACAAACTTAATATTTATCAGGTTGCAAATAGTATGGATAAAAATAGAAAAAAAAATTCAAATTTAACTTACTTATGATAGTTATTTTTATAAATATGTTGTTATGCTTATAATAATTATAATATAGTATAATTATAAAACGCCTAAAATAGTTATATTTAAAACAAGTTCGTATAATTTTATTAATTGTTGTAGACGAGTCAAATATTTAAGATGATATTGTGTTAATTATTCAAAATATTAACTGTATACAATAAATTTAATTCGTATGTCCAAATGTATGTGGTGTGTATAGCTTTGAGTTCTAATATTTTTTTATCATGTTTTATTTTAATTTAGCGTTAAAAAATGAAAAAACATGTCTATTGGATACCAAATTGTATAAAATATCTTTAAATATAACCATTCGTAGCAATTACAATATTTTCTAATTATTTTTAGATCAATCAGTGATCAAATTTAACCTGTTGCATGCAATAACTAACATGTTTTAATGTTTATACATAACAATATACAAAATCAAACATAATAAATAACAGATCAATTATTTGTATGGTCTGCATATATATAAATGTATTTTGATATAGGATAACATATTATTTTTGCAGATAAAAACGTTACTTAAAATAATTTAATATAATCCTTAAATACTAATTATGACCATTATGTAAATTTTATATTACCTGTTGCAATAACTTACACAATATAAATATATAATTTAACTGTTTAATTGTTTCATTATCATTATAAATGTTTATGATCATGAGTTTTTATAGTTCGTTTAACTTTGCTTATTTTCCGATTTGCATAGAGTTTTCCTTTTTTATAATGCAAAGACCTTCTATTTCTATTTTTGATAGGTTCGCCTTCTTTACTTGTTTCGGTTTTCTTGTTTTCTTCTTGTTCAGGTTGGATTACAATTGGTTCATATGATCCATTTAATGATCTTTGGAATTCAATAATATCATCGTTATTCCTCATCCTTACAACATCGTAATCAAGATATCTGCAATACACAAAAATAAGGTTACATTTTCTTAGCAACATTTCACGTCTACGTCAGTGAAATAATTTAACGGTACATTTATTGAATTAAGCTATAAACCACTATTAGTTTTAAATCCTAACACGTTTTATAATGAAAATTAAAACAAACATCGAATGTGATAGGTACTGATTTCAACATGATTACGATAAAATACTTAGTACAATATAAGCTTTATGGTATATGAACATACAAGTTAATGAATTATTTAGTAGTATGAATGATAATGTTTAAACGCGAATTTAATTTTTCTTACAATGCGTGTATTATAAAATTATTTTGTCTAAAATTAAAGAAACCGTAAATATTTATACGTGTATATTCGTATATTCTTTAAAACTATAAACTGTACGCGGCGCACAGTTTATAATTATACATACATTATGCGTTCAGTGTACGCCATAATTCATAATTCGTTAAAAATAAAATGTTGTTTCTCGTATTATTAATAGTGTAAATACCGTTTTGACGTGAAGTAATAGTTTCTATTATGGAAAAGCAATAATAACTGATTTTCGATTATTATGATACACAGAATTTAACCGTCACTTATTACTGCACAATATAATATTCAGTTTCATTGAAATTAGAAAATGTATAGGAGTCGATTGTTAAAAGAAAAATATATATAGTTCTAGGGAAAAAACATTAAATATTTCTAAGACAATTATAAAGATCAATCAACTTATGGTGTTCTGTAATCACAATGCTCTCACAATAATGTATTAAAATTAAGAATTATAGAAAGCAATATAAATAGTATGAGACGTAACGGTAACTTATTCGTGTAACGATATAAATTCAACGATGGTCCTTATTCTAACATCTAACGGATGGAAAGTGAAACGTGCCCTGTGTGGTTTAACCATCAACAACGTTTTCATTTCGATTTCAATGTCATGCTCTGTGTGTTATTCAATACTTTATTTAATCAAAATGTTCAGTCATGCCTTCTGCAGTCATTGGTGCTGTATACGTGTTTTAAAGATTTCTCTGTGACTGTCCGGTTTGTAGAGGGAGGTAAATATTATTTACATTGTATACTTAAATATTTATTCAGTTGATTATCTGGAAAAAGTGAAACCTTATATTTATTTGTTGTACTTTTTTCTTTTATATTTTCCGTCATCTCGTCAATATTTCGAATTATATTTATGTACGTACTATAATACCGTACCAAACGAGGAAGTGAAAAAAAAAATGATCATGCACGGTATGATTCATGTAATATAATACATACAAATACGATATTACGCGTATGATATAATGCAAATTTATAAATAACGATGCTGTCACTTTTAGAATTCAATGGACGGTTGAGCCGTTTTTTGTTGGTGTTATTACGTGTACAGTGTTATTCAATATTTACAAGATACGAGTTTATGAATAATGGATTATCATTTTAAAGTTTTTATTTATATAAATTAATATTTCATGTACAAAATACCATCATGCAATAATCGGGGTCTCTAGGTATCGAAAAAATGTTTGCTGTGAGTAATATTTTGTAATAATTTTTTGTTGCGTTTAGTTAAACCACAGTATGCAGAGAACAAATGTTTTGTGTATAGTGAAAGCCGTTATGGAAAAATACAAAAAACATTAGAACTATATGGAGATAATTAAGGTTAACCAAATAATATTATATATTAACTGACCTTCCCACCGCTACGGCGCCTAATCCTAATGCTGCTCCTCCAGCTACCAAACCTAGAGCGGGCAATAATACCGATGGCGTGGCCACCATGCCGAGCTTCTCCTTAACCACGTTGGTCAGTTCCCGGTTTCCGTTTCCAAAACCTAAATTTCCCGTGATTTTGTGTGTAGCTTCCACTAGTGGATCAACTACCGGCTTGGTTAGGTCCGACATCTTATCGAAACTAGTTTTCATTTTGTTCTTCATCAGTGTCCAAAAGGACGCTTCGTCGTTGACGTAATAGTTAGGAGCGTATTTTCCCTGTTTCTCGGGAAAACTGTAATGTGGTGAGTACTTTTTTGGAACCTTTACCCTGGACTCCTTTTCCAGACCCGGTTCGAAGGCGAAGGGACTCCTATCCGCGTGGATGTCGTGTCCGAAATACGAGAGCGCTTGCTGACGGCGGCCGTCCCTTTGCACTTCCTCGGCCGTCGGTGGTTCGTACTTGGCCACGGCCTGAACGCCCAACTCGGGATGGGCGTACTGCAGCACAGGTGTCCTAGCGCTCTCCTCGAATGACAGCCTCGGCACGGTCTTCGTCGAGTACGCAGCCGCGTTCGGGAAAACACTCATGCTGGGTGCGTGTAACACACGAGCCTCCATCTGCGGCTCCGCCAACATCCTGGAACCGCGAAGACCGTTGGCCAACACGTCACCGTTAATGTTTTTAATATATCCGAGTATCTTGTCCGTCATGTACTTCTCGTCGTACGATTCTCGCTGATTCGTTATGTGCGACCATTCGTTGCTGTCGGCGGCGGTAGCGGTGAGCCGCGATTTTTCTGCGTCCGCAGGTTTTTTCCTGTACACCTGCCACACCCCATTGAACATTGGCGAGGGTGCCTTGTGCTCATCCTTCGACGGCTTGTTGTACGCATCCCTTGGCGGATCGTACCCATCGTTCGGCGCGTGCTGCTCAAGTTTCGCAGCCGTATTTGGCACTAGAATGCCGTTGATCACCCGCGCGTTCCTCCACACCTGCGTGTCGTTCTCGTCATCTGGTTCCCGGACCCCGGTGATCACGGGTATGCCGTCCGCGTCCACGTGTAAAAGACTTCTGGACTTCTTGTCCTCGTCCTTTTCGTTTTTCACATAAACCGAATCCGATCGTATGACCACTGGTTCGGGCACCCTAGGCGCATTCTCGTTGCTCGACGAGATCAATTCGAAGTTCGGCGCGGACGTCGATCGCTCAACAGCGGCGAACTGCTGTTGTCTGCCGTCACGTTTTTTCACCATTATGGTCGCCACGTCTCCCGTACGGGTTTTTACTTCCAAAGTTTCCATAGCGTCCGGATCGAGATTTCTGGCCACTTTTATGGACGTTCTTGTCATTTGTACGTTTTTGTTGTCGGGAGTGCAATCCACAACCATAGGTAAAATAAACAACAACACCGGTACCTTCCACATCTGCAAAACAACAAACGCATGTACTTGTATGATTTAAACTGTTATTATTTTAGCATACGGTTAAAACACATTATGCGTATTACCATAACGTTCAAAATAATCTATAATTTATATTTATAATTTTTATTCCATAATACGTGGGCAAAAAAAAAAAAAAAATAAAAATAAAAGCAGGTCAAATATTATAATATTTTACATGCATTTAAAATTCATAATATAATACCGTATGGTGACACATGTTCATTTCTTTGTGTAATGTTTTAACTTAACATACTACCTGTATAAAATATATTTATATACACATATCTCCATTGTTTAGTATTGAATTATGGAAAATATTGATAAATGTTAATTCACATCGGCAATAGCATTTAACGTACTTGTCCTCGTTTATTTTTTTTTCAATTTAACTGAACAACATAGTATTGAAATTTTGTTATTAGTAATAAAGGTAAAGCACTAGGTATTGTATATGCAATTTTGCGTTTATACTCAAATATTACGCTCAAGTTTATTCATATGTTGTTGGTTAATATTATGGATGGTGATTATATTTTAATATTTAATTCATTCACAGTTTTATTAATTGTTAAAGACGTGTTGAAAAGAAATGAAATACTATATGATTATTTCATTACATTAAAATGTTCCTAGTGCCATTGACCTTAGAATCGAAGTTTACTTTCCCTTCTGAAACATTTATTCTAGACAGGTCCCAACAGTGAAACGCACTGTTTCGTCTTCTATGTCTGATTAAAATATCCGTATGCGTCGGGAAATAATATTAATATCCAGAATAGAAGTGAGAGGAATGAAGGAAAACATTGTTGGAAAACTGGGAAGTTACGCATAAAATATGTATATAATTATTCTCATAAGGATATTGGACTTTTCAGTTTAATGTTTAAACCTAATGACATTGTAAACATTAGTAATCATAAATTTCTCACACTTTCACTTATTTTACCGGATGGCTTCTGCCAATGTCACGAACATTCGTAGTGATTGAAATTAAAAAAAAAATAAATAAATAAAAAAAAGAAGTAAATAGGTAGCGTGAAAACTACGATAAATCAATGAAAAATTATTTTTTTAATCACGTTGATACTTGTCACAACATTATTTATTTAATACAATTTTTTTTTATTTTATTCATCTGTTTTTTTATTAAATTATTTATTAGTTTATTTATTTTTAAATTTCGAGTTTAAATTATTCGTTTAATTTATTGTTGTTTATTATAAAATTATAAGATCATTTATAATTTTTAATTTTTAAAAAAAATATTAAATATAAATATATATAAATGAATATCTACTTGATAGAAATTAAAAATTGGTTTTGTTTATTTTATACGTGGGCACAGAAAAGTAAATAGAAAACTACACTAAATGATTGAAAAAAATCATATTGTATTAAAATAGTAGACATTGCGTCTCGATAGTGGTATTAATACTATAGACAATTCGACTGTCGAATGTATAAAAGTTAAATGAAAAATATACTGATAAAAATGCCTAGTAAAGACATCCGAGTAAAATGTATCAAAAAAAAAAAAAAAAATTAAATAAATATATAAATAATTACTATATTTAATTAATAGATAAATAAATATGAAACATGTTCTTGTATGTACTTGTATAAAAAGTCGATTTGAATTCAGTTCAAGTAAAACGGAAAAAAAAAAAATAATAATACACTGTATTTTCACATCTACAATAACAACTAGTTATTTCCCAATAGCTCAAAATACTATCATTTACCGTTTGTGTGTACTCATATTTTTAGAAATAAATCGAACGCTTTCATTCATATTTAATTACAAATAGGTTGGTAATATAGACTTACATTAGCTATAAAGTATATTTATAAAGAACATGCAGTGAATAATGAACATTTCAATATATTAATAAATTAAATACATTTATAATATTTTATTTAAAATTAAATGGTTAAAGAATTACAATTTTTAATGGTAAAGTTTTACCAGTAATTCGTTTCGAACAAAAAAAAAAAAAAATAAATCAAAATTGTATTACCGTGAATATTCTTTTTCTCGGGTATTTCTTAGCAATTAATTTATATAGTGATTATATTAATTATTCTTCCGTTCAACACGCACTTACATTGTCCCAACTCAGTGGAATGTGTTTTAGTGGTTTAATGTAATTCATGACTTCGTTACACTAAATTATAACATCAACTTATTGGCTCGAAAAGTATCGACACGTTATTCGTTTAGATGGGTTGTTTAATAAGAACGATTAGATCTTGGAGGATAAGCATAATAATTTATTTTGAAATGGGTGCCAGTTTTTACAGTGACAATGGGGGCTGGTTATATTGCGTTTGTCACGCGACGAACACACACATAGAAACGCGCAACAGCATCACAAAACACTATTGTCGTTGTCTTATAAGATAATACATAATAATAATTGTAATGTTTTTTTATTAAAACGTGTGTATTCTTTAGTATTATAATACTAGTGTAATATTATTTTTCAGGAAAAAAAAATAATAAACATTTTAAAACGGGTTTTTATTACAATTGTTTACACCCTATGGTTTATTTCTCCCTTTTTTTCCTGGTACCGTTTAAACCGGTAATTTAAAACATTTAAATAGAAATCCATTGATTTATTGTTAAATTTTTTATTAATCCTATTATTTGTTTATTCTCTGTACGTTGTGTTTACTTTTAGAATCACAGTTACCAACAATATTATTTAACTTTTTTCATACATTAAATAGATGTAATTGTACTCGAATACCCGAATTATGTTCATATCGTATATGCGCAAATACTTCTAGTTTTTTTATCGTATATGTCATATACGATAGACAACTCTTTAAATATTATCGCTATGATTAGACAAAGCCCTATACCGAACTAATTCGTGTATCGGTAGGTAAAAATATGAGTATGGTTGACATTTTAAACTATTTGTGCTTGTATAACGTTGTAAAAACCACAATTATATACATGCACTTTAACTAATAACGGGTGGAAATAAAAATAACACATTTTAAAGATCATTGCTCAATAAATCAATTCACAATTCACTGGATAATTCGTTTTAATGTCAAAGAAAAAAAGCACACGGTCCGTGAAATGAGTTGACTTTGATAAGTAGGTTTTTATATATTGGTCTTAGAATGAAAACAATTTAAAACGTGCAGGTACCAGTTAATATATTTATAAATAAAAAAATTGAAATTAAGTCTACATTTTATGAGATGCTAAAAATAAAATTATTACATACCTTTGAAGTTTTAATTTATAATCCTTTAAATGCACAAAACACTGAAAAAAATGTTAGCCAAATATGTTTAAAATGATTCAGTCTTATCGGAAATTATAGTTTGAAAAAGTAAGAATATTCACATTTCACTTTCTACCAGCAGTCGTAGCGTCCTTACAACAAGCTACACAAGACTAACCCAATGTCGTAGTACACTAGTCGGTATGCACCGATGCTTTCTTTCACTCATTAACTAATTTCCCCTGCTCTCACATATATATAAATATATATATACTATAGTACTATACTTTTGGTTTTAAGTGTAAGTTAACGAATGCTATGAATGAAATGTCTGAATAAAGATACATATCTATTTACTACATTCAAAACATTCATAAATAATATAAATATATGCAGCAAAAATAACAAAATTGTTTAATAAGGTTGTTTGCAGGTTATTTTTATTTTGTTAAATTAATAATTTAAAATTTTTATAAACTATGAAAAATTTATGAAACATAAGTTAATGAAGAAAATCATAAATAGTTTAAACATATTATAATACTTTTTTAAAACATATATATTCTATATATATTGCATTAAGTATTATATTTATTTTTTTGTAAACCCTTTTATAGATAAAAATATGTAAAGATGCATCAATTATAATTTTGGTAGTTCTTAAAGATTCTATAGAAAGATAATTTTTGCATTATATTTGTAGTTAACTGAACTAATTTTATTTTTATTTTTTAGTTTGATTTTTATCTACAGTAGGTGGTAAGTAAATGTAAATATATTATAATTAAAATGAAACATAACGTGTGTATATTTGTATGTAAATTAGGTAATATTTGAGATTTTTATTTAATTTGCTTAATTATTTTGAATTTCGATATTTAAATTTAAATGTTTTTTTTAATTAATAATTAAAATAATTGTATAATAATTTTTAGATATTTTTTGTTGATTATTATTTTAAATGGGAATATATAATATAAAATACTCGAAAAGATTTAAAAATATTTTGATTCACAAAAATCTAATTTTGGTATACCAATCAATGATACTTGTAATAATTTAACTTTTTCTAATTACTATTAACTATAAACTATATTAATTTTAACGTTTTATTTTCTTATGTTGATAGATTTTGAAATTCAATTGTATTTCAATGAAATACTTTAAAAGAAAGATTTTTTTTTTTAAAGACAGCTTAAGTTTTTGATTCGGGAATACCTACAATTCAATTTTTCTGATTTGTTAAACATTTTTATTACATTTTTTGAAAAGTCATTATTATTATTATTATTGATCAATTCATCATTGTCATTTAGAGTTAGACATTTCTGATGATACATTTCTATCTTTGTACATGCATTTTTGTCGAATTGAAAAATACATCAGACATTGAATTTTGATTGAAATCGTAATTGTAACAAATCGACAGTTATTGTCCTGGTAAAATCTTGCGAAGAATCGTAAAATATACTACTAAATAACTTCTTTGTAATATCATCTTGTCATCTACCGAGTAAAATATATTTTCACGATTCAGATGATTCTCTAAGTATCGTTTTGAATTTGAAGATTTTCACTCGAAAACTATAACTACGAGTGGGTGAGCAAGTGCTTATATATATGTACCTAAATATTTCAATGTTTAAAGCATAGTCTGTAAAGCCTATATAGAAACATTCACTTTTCCGTATAACATTATCGTTTATAACTACGTGAAAACTAAATTTGGAATATTTTAGACATATATTACTAAGGAAATATAATTGATGCATAGATTTACGTCATTTATGGTAGTAGCTTAAAAGAAAATTATTATTTAAATTTTAAATTTTTATCCGTATAACAGTGTATTATAATTAAATAATGTTTATCAGTGTGAATTAATAACAGTTTCAGTCGGTTTAGTCAATTTTAGTCAAGATCGATAGGTAAATTAACTATAATTTATGTTACATTTTTTATTTATTTATATTTTATTGAAAAAATAAAAAATATAAACTGCAAAAATTATTTTATGATTAGTTTTGAAGAATATTACAGTTAAAAAATATATATTGTATTTATTATCTGAGGAAAGGCCTTGGTGGCAGGTACACTGATTCTAACATTTTTATTTTATCATATTTATTTAAACTTTTTTAATTTGCATGTTTCACTTATAAATATAAATCATGCATATTTGAGTTCAATATATAATTGTATTAATCATACTATAACTCCATAAGTTATTATAATATTACAGTTTATATAGTTAAAATAATTATATAGCTTATAACCTAAAATTTGAAATGAAAAAATATCTCGATATCCACTCACGTCTAGTTATTCATTGTTGGTCAATTGAAAAAACCTTGTATCCATGTACTCATTGAGTTATTTAATGCAGTACCTTTGCACTTGAGCCCTTTGCTAACATTTACTTTAATGCGTGAAGCCATTTTAATTTTATAATAATATACATATTATACTAGCTGAATAACCTGGCATCGCTCAAAAGATTATTTTATTATTTTAGAGTAGAGCAAATACCATTGCAATGTAAAAAAAAAATTAGGTTAGGAAAAAGCGCACAATCGTTGTATATTTTAATGATATTTATAAATTTAGTTTTACGATTATTATTAGGTATATTATTAATTTTTTATTAATTTATACCATATATTCCTCAGTCAGTAATTATTAAAATCAACATATTAAAGAAAAGAAAATATTTCCTAGATAGTCAAAAATTGAAAAAAGTGTTCGACTTTTAAAAATCCGAGTTAAGAAAAATTCCTTTTTATCTAACCAATAAATTATAATAAGTGTATTTCTTTAAAATTTCAAATGAATATTTATTGTAATTTTTGTTGTACACCGATCGTCAGTGTGTTAGTAGTATTTGAATTATATATAATAATAATAATAAAAATAATTGAAGATATTATTGTATTAATGTTTGATAAGTTGGATAGGTAAACAGTTTTGTCGTAACTCTGGAAACTGGGAAGAGCTCAAGTTGCATCTTATATTATTTTTTATTGCAGTTTGTCATATATTACTAATAGAAAATTATTTAGTATACTATTTTCAAGATTTTTTCCCTTTGTCGTTAAACATAATATATGCAAATGGAATAAGAATTTTGATAATATAATTTCTTCAAATAGTAATAGTTAAATATACAACTCAGTGTAAAGTCATTGTGTTGTTGGATTTCTATCTTGGACTATCTTTGGACTATCTCACGGTCAAATTACCGAAATTGTATTTAAATAAAGCTTGATATTCTAATTAAACAATTTAAATAATATTCTATATTAACTAAATACATATTAAAGAAAACGAATATGATTTTTAGGATTACCTGATATTATCGTTTTACTTATCTTAGTGCAAGAGCATTATTTTATTATTTTAAATTAAATTTTATTAAAAAGATAAATTATTGTGTTGATATCATCAATGATGATATCAAAAGATGAGTTGATTAATTATTTTGACTCAATCAATTCGAAAGAGCGAGTAAAATAATTTCTTATTCAATTAATTATGATAAGATATTGGTTCATCATATTTTAAAAAAAACTATACGTACTGCAGAACTGTATCGTGAATGTTTTAAAATTGAAAAAGCTTTAAAAATAATTATAAGTATTAATTAATGAAAATGATGACTAGGTATATATGTTATAACGTATATATATATAACGATTTTCGATCTTAACTTTTCATGACTTTGAACGTTACAATACATATTTTATTTATTAAATGAAAATGTTGAACACATGTGGTTATGTTTTTAGTATTAGAAAACAATATAAATACGTATTTTAATAGTATACATTAAATTAGGTAATTATATTTCAATGCGGTAACCTAATTTAATTAATTATTCAATAAATACGAGTTGTTCACACAGTTATAGGCAAGTTTTACTCGCTACTGTACAATTTACCTACGATCGTTTTTAAAAACAATAATCATGTTCTCGCCAATAATCATATCGTAATATGGAATTACATAGCATTCAAAATTGTTATCTTTTTCCTGTAATTATATATTATTTTAGCTTTTTCATACAACTCGTATAATATACAAACTAGAAGAAAATCCGTCCTCGCTGGTTAAATTTACACGTGTTGTTGGTTTTGATTATTTAATTTGATGATTATAACACAAAGATGGAAATATTTCTCAGATGTTAGAATTTACAGAAGTCGAAAAATAATTAGTATTATTTATTGATTTTAAGTAAATATTTTTTTATTTTGTTTTATGATATTGTTTATTAAAAAAACATACTTTTAAAACAATATCCAAAAAATGAAGTTTAAACTAAGCACTTCAAAACTATCATAAGATAATCAACTTAAATCACTAACAAATCAAGTGTAATTAGGGTATTCATGATTTTTTTTTCAACAGCTTGTAGAAAGTTGTTTAATACACCTTCAGGGAATTTGCAAATAACCAAACCGTTAAATTCCTGAAATAACTTAAATAAACTTCACACATCAATTATCTTTTTCAATATTAAAGAGATATTGAACTTCATAATTTTATAAAAATCAGTAAAGAAAAAAAGAAATAAGTAATAAATTAATAATCGTTATGAAATTATATGATATTTTATAAGGTATACGTTGCATAACAATATTTATATTGTATTTTACATTACATAGGTATTCCAGGTACGTAAACTGAACTATAAATAAATATAGCGATGACTAACATAATATATCCAATAGAAGGTAAGGACTTGAAAGTGATAGGACATAATTAAGGCATGCATGACTTAGTGACCGGTTGGTAATGACCATAATATTTAAAACGTTAAGAGTGTTAGTATAAGAATCTATCTGTCGGTAGACGATAATAGTGATATTTGTAACGTTAAAAGTGTATGAGTAAGAACCTCGTATAGTCCATATTATATGTAAATATATATATATATATATATATCATCTATATCATAAATTACAATTCGTTTTATCTCGCTACGGAACGCTACGATCTCATAGATGTAAATAAAAACTTCATAATAAATTATAAATGTTAGAATAAAACGGTGTATTTTATTTTGGTTTGTGCTATGTAGTATTGTAATGATCAAATGATAAAAAAAAATATTTTTAGTATAGACTCAGGCCAAACGCAACCCTTCATTGTATTTTTGACAAAATACAAAACTTATTGGATATTATGACAAAAATAGAAGCATTATGACAATTATTGATTTCTTCATATAGCGAGTGAACATAATCTGGAATTATGAAACCATGTAAAATATTTGGAGTATTTTCTCATAAATATCATAAAACCATTTTAAAATTCACAGGCGGCGGTAACACTCGATTTATGTGTTTTATAAACTATTTTGTACTTAAAATTAAGTAGGTATAATTGGTAAATTTTATTACATATATTTATTTAACTGGTAACTAAGTATAGACTACTACATGCACTATACATTATTATTAATTATTGTATTATTATTACGTAGGCAGTACATGTAATATCGCTATCATCGCAGTCGTCGTCCATGGACGGCGACAGCATTTCCAAAATTACAAGAAAACCAAAAACATATATTAATTAAAAATGGTTATTTCTCAATGGCGGATAATATTAACGTATTAAATATTTATATGTTTTATTTAATTCATGGGGTGTTCGAACACCGCAAAACCCCAAAAGTCGGCGTCCATGATTGTTAGTGTATATTGATTAAATTGAATAACTCTGATTTTGTGCTGAGAACATAATTCATGCGAAATAATATAATTAGATAATTATCTAATAACTGCTTAAGCAGTATAGACGAGAAAAGTTTTATGTTCAGATAAAAATGATAGCGATTAAATATATATAATGGGCCATCTCATTTATAGTTAATATATATTTAAAGATTTATTTAATAAAATCTCGCAGTTTTTACTGGATTTTAACGTAGATATTAAATAATATGTCGATGGTTAAGTCAAAATTTTAACTGTATTTTTCTCGTAAATAATAAATAAAACCCAGTTGATCCTTAGAGTTTCAAATTTTTTAAAATATTTTATATGTGAAAGCAGGAGTAACAGTTAATTTATTCCATTTAAAATATCTATGAAAACTAATTATAATTATATATATTTTTTTTATTATTATTCCTAAAATGTGGTAAGTTAATAAAATAAAAGTGACTGAAATATTGCAGTCGATCATAAAAAAATCTAAAACATTTAACGCCGGTGGTAACTCGTAGAAAAATCACACGTTAAACCTACATATTAAATCACAATATTATATGTTAAACTAACGTCCGGAATGAGAGGCATGCGCATACCCACTCCGGGCACTCGAGAGTTATTTAATTTTGTATTCGTATAACCGTATAGTTGCTCTTAGCTTTTACTTTCTCGCACCGTCCGTACGAAATATACGCGCGTTGCTGTTATAACACGATCTTATCAAGACGATTGACGAATAAAATCAATTTGAAAGTATATCATATAATAGCAGTACACACATCCGTATTGAAATGAATTTATACACAATACATTAGCTATTACTCGCGTGTGATATACGGATAGTAACAACAAACGTGTTTGTTTTCCCAGCGGATATCGTATAGTAAATACTCGGTGATAAAGAAAGCAGGGTATTATATTAATAAGTCAATATCTTAATACATCAAAATAATTATTATTAAAATTGAAAAACTAAAAACTGAATACGGTTTATATAGGTTTGTATAGTTTTTACAAAAAGAAAACAAGTAAACGGTTTACCGATAGATCCGTTGAGAACCTATGTGTAGATAATGTATAATTGCTTACGAACTGACCAATAAAAAATGAACTACACACTATAAATACGAGTCGAATAACCTCGGCCAGTATACATTTAACGAACGCAGCGTAACGAGTGGTTCGAATGAACATGATTTTTGAAAACGTTTATCGATTGAAATTTGTTTTTATCGTATGGTAAATGTAGATAACAGAAAATTGTATGCATATTGCAATGCATTACGTTGCGAACATGTCTAGGATTGGGAATCACATCGGAAACCACAAAAGAAAGCGATATGTGTCATCAACCGCATTCTTAGATGAAATTCATCCTCCAGATTTGGTTTTTATTTTTTTTATTTATTTTATTTTACTTTTATTTATGGTTATCGTGGAACGAAAGTTCGCCCAGGGCCAAGTCTACTTCCGATACCCAGCCATTAAACGTGTCTGCATTCCATACATTAATGGAATTCTTGGTCTGATCGGTGTAAAATTGTGGTTACCGTGTTGATATAAAATATATGCTACTAGTATAGGTATGTATTGTTATTATTGTATGCGCTTGTTCAATTATTGCAAACAAACACTTGACACGATTCCGGCGAAGTGGATACAACGGCTTCTGCGATTTCCACCATCGCGGTCGATCGATTTTTCGCTAAACTGAAATAATACCACAAAAAAGGTACAATGTTATAACACACAATATAAAGCTGATTGAGTTTTTTTTTAAATTTTAAAATAATATTCGTGTTAATCAGTGGCGGTTTTTATAGAAGGGGGATCTGAACCACCTAGGTCCCGAGTTTAGGTTGTGATATATTATTTGTTCAAGATACTCGGGTTACTCCGTTATGTTTATTTTTTTAATTCTAATTAAAAATTAAATTCTACTAAACAAAATTTTAAAAACCGCCACCGATGCTAATGCGTTCCGTTATAAAGTATTCAAAGTATTTCCGTATAAAATTCAAACGCGCTGTTTTCAACCGTGTGAATCGTAAAGACTGCAACGCCTGAAGAGGTAATTATATTCACGATAGCGTTTTTAAATGTATAATGTACCAATGAATTATTTATTATATTCTGTTTGGCGGATCATATGTGATAATATTTAAAAAAATTCAAACCATGCACGAACGTAATCTCTATTAAATTGATGTTTTTTTTTTTTTTTTTTGCTAAACATTATTATAATAATATAATATAATAATTAGATATCATTGGACATTAACATTCAAAGATAAATAGAATCAATCTTATAGTCTTACTTCAGTTTGTTGTTTTGCAAAAGAGAATCCAATTCGCTCAGCGTATAATTGGTTTTTATGCTTTCGCATATTTTTTTTTTCGAACAGTCATCTAAATATCTGGGTGACTCTTCGTCTCCACTGGTTTTGCTTATTGGTTTTTTATTTTTCAACGACCTATACCTTCCGATGATCGCATTCGGATTGTACAACGTGGCGTTTTTTTGAAACCTTTTTTATTCAAAACCATACAATATTATTTCAAACACATTAAAATTCACAAACAGTAATTTTATGAAATTTATATACATGTATTTTTTCCCCAGTCAAAACGATCGATGAACGTCGCATAAAAATATTTCATAGGCATCTACGATATTATACCGTTCCAAATCCGTTTCCGTTGTATTCTCACACCGTACCATACGGAACATCAGCGCACGTCAGGAATGTCCGGACGTGCACCGCACTACTACCGCTGTTACGAAACCGTAATGTCATTGCATTCCGGCGATAAACCTAATGCGTTTCTCTCGGACAACACGTATCGGTGCGTCGAAGGTATTTCGAAGAGAACATGTGTTTGGAAACGGACGACGATAGGAACCGTTCGGATGAACAGACTAATAGATCTGCGGCATTCGGACATCCGCTGCGGAACGCGGTAACCAATTATCGCTATACGCGCTCTAATAACGTAACGTGATAATCCGAGCGCGGCCGAAAATTTCACCAGCGCAACACCCGCGTGGGTATACGTCAAACCGTATTTTAAGAAATTTTCACCGAGTGCCATTTCAACAAAATCGATTACCGGAGGAACAAACAGCGAAAATCGACTCCAGTCATGACAGTCGTGTTGGTCAAGGGCGGGTTTAAGAGGATGGATAAGTGGGCATTAGCCCTCCCTCCCTCTTGGGACTAAGCTCACTATTTTACAAAGTCGAGTATTATGATATACCTATTGATATATTAATAATTATTATAAAATATCGTCAATCGTCATTGATGAAAATGGTGAACCTATTTTACCCGACCAACATCCTATTCGTCCGATATTTGTGGCTACAACATATCCGATTTTGTACCGACTAAAATCAAATATTATGTTGTCATCAGGTCATCTGCTGCAACTTTTTTTTTTATTTGCACCTACCATCTCTTACAGTTAACACGTGTTTTGGTGCTCTTTCATTTTATAATTTTTAGTCAATATGTTTTCAAGTTCCAGCAGTTCAGGTTCAGAAGACGTAAGGGATGATTTATTGGATACTAATTATAATTTGTACTTAAATAGTCCAAGGTCTAGCTGGGTGTATTTTAAGGTGTATGTAATTTATTAAGTTATTTTACTTTTAATTTTACAATTTAGTTTAACAAATTTATCGAACATACTGCAGAGACACTTCACAAATTACGTGCGGGTATATGTCGTGACCTGTGCACACTCACACGTAATAAAAACAATAAATATAGTAATGATCGATTTTAAAAATAATTTTGATTACTAATTTAATTTAACAATACACCAAAAATGAATTCATTTTGTGCGACTTGTCTGATAAAAAACAAATCAATATGTTTTAAAACCGACGTATCCTACTAGTCGGTACGTCGGAAACGGACGAAACGGATAAATATAATCACTATCTATAATATACACGGTTTTGTTTTTCTTCCGATTAGTCGGATTTTCAGATCGAGTCGGATCGGATCGGAAACGGGTCCAATGTAGCCGTAGCTTAACACGTGTTGCCAGAAAAGGACCGTGAAACGTTGAACACTAACCCAACCCGGAATGGGTTCGACGTACGCTCGTGCGCGAATACAACAACAACAAAAAAAACCGCGATGTCAAAAAGAATGCTCGACCGCGACGACCTTTGCGCGGGTTCGTGATTTCTCCGTTTGGCGCAGCAGTCGATCGGACCGCAAGACCTATATTCGTGCTCACGCGCGCACGGGTTTGTGCAACGCGTTCGTTTCGAGGACGGGAGAAAACGTTACACCGTATGGGCGCCACCGGGTGCGGACCACGCGCTACGACGAACGAACTAACTCTCCCGATGTTGAAGAGCAGTTGACTGTTCCGAATGGCAAACTCAGCATTAGCTCTTTCGGTTCTGTAATAACTTCGTACGGCCGATGTACTGATCGAGATAAAATATCATTATTTAAATCGGACTACGCGTACTGTGTGATGATCGGACCAGCGTTTAGAGTTTATTCGCCGTTCAAATTAACAAATTGGTTTCCAATATTATATTTTTACGGTTCAGGCTCTACTTGAACGTCGGCTCATCTGTTTTAGTTTTACATTTATAAGAAGGAAACCTTAATAATTCAAATTAATCAAAAGGTATAGGTGAATTCCTAATGATCGATGATCACATGTAAACTATCTAACTGCGGTTATAGTAGTCGATTACCATGATGTTTGACATTGAAAACAAAATTCATTGTTTAATAAATTGTGGATATTTGAGTAAAACATTCATCGACATTGTTCGATTACGGGAAAGTGTTCAAAAACCGGACGGTTCACCTCAATAAGAACATTGGAGTTTTTAAAAAAAAACTTAATTCTTCTACTTTGGCCTGCATAATCTTGCGATTAAAATATTATTTCATTAGGATCTTGACTTTTTTAACGTACACAAACGAAGTTATTACGGTCCCGGGAGAGCTCACATAATATATTACCTATAATACTCTCCGGGTATTTTTGGAGTGGACCCGGTAGAGTTTTCTATGGTCATAAAAATCGGTATAGTTCATACCGTTGGCCGAACGACGATAATATAACCGTGAAAACTACGGTATTTAATATTTATTAATATTATTATTATTTTTACGAGTTAAGGTGCATTCGTATTCCATAGGTTCTCGTACTATTGGTTACGCGCGCACACCCGAATGACGACGGGATGCTATCGTTGCACGAGGATCATGGGTGAGCGCAGACATCTCCGGCGGAACGATAGACGCGCTTTCACCTGCACGAAACGCCTCTGTGCGGTCTCTCGGCCGTAGAGAACGGTTAGGCTTCGTCGTCGTCGTTGTCATCGCGGGCCGTGAGTGATCTACCGTATATGGATTCACTTTTCACCGGGTGTGCGCGATTTAATGGCCGTGTACATTTTCCCTTTCCTCGCTCGCGTTTTCATTTCGTATAAATAATATAGCGAAGTAATAAAACAAAATAAGGAAGAAAAAAAAAATCGCCAAAAACGGATTACTCCTAATAAGCGATATTTCACGCGCCGATTGATCATTGATGACAAGACGAACGAAAAACTCGAGCACAAAAAATATATTAACATATCGATTCGTTTAAGGTTTATCCGCATATTCCGTTTTGCAAATGTACAACGTAACTGACCTATGCGTTCAGTAGAACCGATTTTATTATGTCGACTTCGGTACTGGAGCAATAAAGCAATAATAAAAATGATTATCAAACTTGAACGGAAGAACGTTGTCCGTGTCTTCTCGTAGATTTTTACGATTTTTAAGCGAGTTATCAGTAGCCCGTAAGCAAAACATTAAAATTAATAACAGCTCAGAGAAGATAAATATAATGTCCTTCCCTTTAAATTTGATAATAGGTCAATTTATTTCAATATTAAAGCTAACAACACAAAGTTGATTCTACCAAACGCAGATTTCCTACGTTTTATGTTTGTAATAATCCGTCCAAAATAGGATTGTCCCGTTGATCTTACAACATTTTAACAGGACGCGTTTTGTCTCGTATTACAAGTATATGTTCTATTTTTATGTTTACAGAATCATGAATTTCTTTTGAAACACCTATAATTCTTATAAACGCAACAAATTATTTTTACAACAATTTATTCTTATAAATACAACATACAATACAACAATTTTTTCGGATAAATACAAAAAACAATGAAGTGAAAAATATTGAAAAAGAGCTCATCAAAATTATACGAACAATTTGAAAGTAAATCTATTTACATTTCCCTTAGCAATTGAATTGTCTTATGGTTTTAATAAAAAATAAATAAAGTATAAATAATAGTAAAAATAAAAATAATGCGATGGGCGCGTGCGTGTGTGGGGAGAGGAGTGAACAACTAACAATTGTTGCAATAAGTGCGCCACGGTATTTTACTGTCGCGATAAGATGTATAATATATAACCGTAGTGATTTGAGCTCTCAATAGCATTCCAATGCAGTTTTCGTGTGCCATTATATGGACACATAAATGTAATTATAATATAATAATATGTAATGATTTGTTCGATTTGAATAGGACGCGGCTGGAGTATGAATATTATAATAAACGAAGTAAAATCGGAAATAGGTCTTTTCAGTAGCACGCGTGTTAACGATTCTTAGTTCGTAAACAAAATGGAATAACGATATTTTTTCTTTTATACTCACTGAGAGGGGTATTGAGTTGAATTCACTTTGATGACGGTCGGAGGAAAAGAAGCTAGTAACAGTCCTACCGGCAGAATAGTGGCCAACACGGAGAGCATGCTCCTCCAAGGATCTTTCCTGCAACAATATCGAATAATATAACAGTATTGCAATAATTTTGATGGACGCAATATTATAGTTTATTATACTTATGACGAATTGCGACGCTGTGATAGGACTTCGGTGGTTCGTGCACGAGATCGGGATAATGCGACATCTCGTTGCCGTAGTACCGGCCAAAATATTTTTCGTAAAAGCTGTTGTCATATTCACTGAACTTCGGCACAGTCTCGCCGTAGTCGTGTTTCATCGGTTTGGGCTGCGTAAATATTTCAGTGTACTTGTACGGGCTCCTGAACTCCGGACCATTCGACCTGTTGCTGTGTTGGATAATATGATCGTGAGAAGCTTGTGGAAAAACTATATTTTTGTCGTCGGGTTTTGGCGTCAACGACGGATTGACTAAGCCATTAGGTCTCTGAAAGTGTTGAGTTCCGTGGAAAATCTCGGGATTGACATAGGTGCTGGGTTTTTCGTATATCGGATTGCCATCGGGTCTGTAATAATTGCTGGGCTTGAAGTCTTCGTACACTTCGCTCGGCACGTACGACGACGAAACGTTAACGGAACTCTTGACGGACACCGCAGTGGCTTCGGTGACTTGTGCAACGGTTTCTGAGCTTTTGACGGTCGTCTCTTCGGTAGTAGGATCAGTCGTATCTGCCACTGTGGTTGACGTGTCTAATTCAAGCTGAGGTCTCTGGTGCGAGTGGCAAACGAAAACCAAGACCAAAAATAATCCCTAAACAAACCGCGGTTAAGAAAATATTAACGACCACGCGCGTTAAATCGATCTTTGCGGTTACAATGTTAAGTATACTTACTTTTTCCATGCTCCCGGATAATATAATAACGTTTTTAGATCATTTGCTTCTTTGCATTGTCGTTGGCAGCAACCGAATGAGTCAAACGTCAAGATTTTTATAATATTTTAGGAAAAATGTTCTCATTGTTTGTATTCAAGATACGGAACACAGTGCACATAATGTGCCTGATAGTGATAAAGACGCATCATCATGTGTTATGAATAGTAATGGGACAACTTTCGGTTTCTTATTTTTTTTTTTTAATTTTATGTAATTCTTATTGTCCTCGGTAGGTAGTAAAAAATATTTATAACTGATGTAACTCTACCATATAATACGGCTATTTTAAGACACTTAAATCGCTCATCAAAGTGAACATTCGTTTTCTTTTGTATTCCGTATAGGAAGGAAATAATTATTACAAATATTTCGTGCACATAGTATATTATTATTTTAGATTTATTGTAAAAAATATAAATATAAAAGTATATTGTGTTTTATTAAAAACTTATAATAGTTGAATTGGAAATCATACTATAAGTATGATATATAGTAGAAAAATTTTTTTTATTTATTATTCCAGCTAGTTCTTAATATTTTTGTATTTTAACGGTAGCACAATAATATAATTAATAGAAAAATATTTTTTTAATGTTAAATTTCGTTTGTTTATATTTAAGAAAAAATGTTTAAATGCACCTTTTACTTTCACTTTTCTTATTACACTAGAGATACGAATGCATTGAAAAATTATGTTTGTCGAATATTTAATAGCTACAACTTATTTTTGACGGAAATTAGAAAATGTTGATAAACTTTACGCTTTGAATATATTTATTTATTTTTTATATATATAAGTAAAAAGATTTATTGATTAATAATATTTATCTGTATTTTTTAAAATTAAAGTAGTGGGCAAAATTTAATTTAAATATATGATATAAATTATTTTAGTACAATTATTTTAAAGTTCAAACTAAGTGCTAATAAAATGTACATGATCTCAGTCATTATTCAGTAATATATATTCAAATAGAAAAAATATGTAATCAGATGATTTACAAAATCGCTTAAAATAATTTTCTATATCACATATTTGTCTCTTATACAATGGTATTACAGTTTATATAACACTACTTAATACTTTTATAAAAATTTTTAGAATTTTCATATGCCAAACATTTAAGTTTTACCTCACCTATATGTAAAGAGTTAAAGTTAAACCAGAAGAAACAACGCAAGCCCAAAGACATAATTTCTAGTTTTTTTTGTTAATAGCAAAATAAAATTATTATAAATTATTCTAAGAATCGAAAAATTAACACTGGATAAAATAATCATGTTATGTTAAATATGTATTACACTTGTGTGTTTTTCATACTATTATTGGTGAAAACCCGGTTTAAACAATGAGTGTACTGTTAACAAAATGAGCTAATGCATTTACAAATGACACGAAGAGTTCTTTAAACGTACACAAGTGTTTAAAGTAAATTTTACAATCTAAACTTTATGTTCATACATGTGTTATATAAGTATTGACTTATTTTCTTTTCATTATTGTTTTATCTAAAAATTAACTTATTTAAAATCGACACAGATAAAATTCTTTTTAAGTTTTAGATTTGATAGATTATAATAAAATGAAAGAAAATTTTCTCCTAACAAAATAAGAATTAGTAATCTATATATATATTTTTTTTCATTCGTGTAACTTTGTATTTAATAATAAAAGTATAAGTAACTTGCGCTAAAAGTGGCCCAAACAAAAGATGTTTGTATTGTTATTAACTACACCATGACGTATACAAATCAATTTTAGCCATCTGTTTCACGAATCGTGTATTATGAGACAAATCAGCTGAAACTATAAACGATATCTGATAACTTTAATGGTTATTTCTATAATAATTAAACCGTGCATATCATTATTTTATTTTATTTTATCAATTTACGTCATCTGGCATTGATTCAGATTTAAAGATATAAAATATATAATAAGATTTAAGAAATATAAAACTTCTAAAACGTTATTGTTGTAAATAACTTGTTTCTATTTTATTTAGATACACACAAACCTAACTGAATAATATCCATCAATGTAACAGAATGAGGTCGATATTTGACAAATTAAATGTTGTTAACATTTTTTTTTATGCTTTTGCATATTTTTGAACAAATAAAATTACACATCCGTTCTAAATTTAACAGCTATATATTTTCAAGTTAAAATATAATAATATAATAATTATAGCAATTATTGCTTTACACGCTGGTAAACGGTGTTAACACCTTAATCAGCCCATAAATGATGAAATAGGCAACTTTTACACTTACAAGTATTTTGAGTTATTAAAGTATTTCCCATTTTAAGGCGATTGGAAGTGGTGATTTTCTATCTCTTTCCATCATTCACACTACCCAACAATTTAAAGGTATTTTAATTTACTGAACAATTAAGCAATCGTTAAAAAATTTAAAAACAGATTTGAATTTAATCTTCTTACTGTTTTGATTTCATCTCTCTGAATTTTACAAAAGAAATTGAACAAATCAGAAATACCATTTATAAACTGATAAGAGTTATATTTTTGATATCTTACGTACAAAATGTATACAACGTAAGAAAAACGATCTAAAGAAGACTTTACGACATATGTTTTAAGATTTCTAGCGACACTAGATCGATCGTTACGTTTGAATAAAAATAGATCTACATTGATAAGTTGTGCGTGTGCTGATAGGCAAGGCCACAGAATCATCTCTTCCTTAAGTACAAATTATCAACTGATATTTTAGTGAATCAGAATTTAATTAATTTCGATTTCAGAGTGTTGTGTTCGAATGAATATTGCTGCAACATCATTGCTGGGTTATATATTATACGTCGGGTATAGCAACATCATGATAAATAATAATATATTATGATTTTTTAGTATAGGTATTGTCTATTGTTGTATACCATTTCTGGTCCTTAACGATTCCATCATCCGAGCGTGTATCATAAATGGCTCCTTGCACGTGTGTCACTTCAACTGCGAAAACAAACAGTCGGTTGTAATGTATGTGCGCGTATGTATTTTCGAAATGATAATTATTGCGATATGCTGTTCAGACACGAACAATATGAAACACTTTTACTTTCCATATCCATGTCAATTCAAAATCAGCTCTCCGACTAGTTGTGTTCGTCATTCGTATTCCGATAAAAGTCGTCAGAACAACACCCTATCGACGTAATAATATCATAATATAGTTTGCAAGGCACTGCTGTAATAAGTAAATAATTTAAACAATAACGATAGTCGTTGTGAGTATTTTTTCATTTTGTATTACTTATTAATTCAGTTGTAAGTGAATCAATGTTTAATCAGCCGTTACACCTTATGCAATATTGTAATACAGGACATGCAGACCCCGACGGTGATCACGGCCGTATGCCTGCTGATGCCCGTGTTGGTCCTGCAGTTCCGTCTTATCTCGGGACACACGATCATCGATCAACACGAGGGAATCGAAGGAAATGAGGCCGAACCGAGGGCATTGAAATCGGAATCCGTGCTGATGGGCATCGCCAATTCGCTGATTGGCGGCAAGACCAAAGGAACGACCGGCGGTGGCCAAGTACAGAGCAATAGGGTTTTATTATATTTTTTAAATTATGCATATTTATCGCAAGCGCACAAAAATAATAATTTAGCATTATTATATTATTGTAATACTATATCGTCTTAAAATTATTAACGCGTGTGCAACGTATATTATTATTGTGCATTTAGAGCAGCTACTGTATAGACCGTGACGTTTACCAGAGATCAGCTCGGGGTTTCTGCACATTGTCCTCTCTGACCACCTTATCCAGTCCCTGTAAGTTTTTCAAGATGGCCAATGGATTTTGTGATCTACCTGACATCTTGGCTAGTATTTCATTTGTATTTTAAAATCAAACGAACATCCGCGGTACACAGCATCCGTCAAAACTATTTTCAGATGTCTTATTTCTACAGCTATACTGCAGTCTTATTTCGGTTTCTGTGCATATATAATATATTTCTGATTAATATAAACATATATAACCTATACATCTATCATAACTTGTGTACACCTTCAAACGATTTAACTAACCTCGTGTCACTACGTTGATATAAATATATATTATTTTTTATTTTTTCATTATTCTTCTAAACGACTGTTTCATTTCCCATCTTTCCTGTTATTGCTGTCACGAATGCATCATATTTTGTACGCGGTACATGTTATGATACGACTTGATTATACAGCAACCCTCGCTTGTTTGTGTGTTGTAGTCGCTCAGTTTGAATATGTCCAACATAGTGCTAATGTTGGTACTCAGAGGACTGATATGGGGTGTGTCGTACATTCAAGGCAGTGGCAAAGAAGCACGGAGCGAGGACTTGCAGACTTCCGCGGCGGACATGATTAACGAAACTGACATGATGTTGTTTCTCGGATATCTGGTGGCAGATGAGTCGGGTCAACACGACTGTTTGAATCTCGTGGCGTGCCAACAACCAACCCGAGCAGAAAGCTATCTCAGAAGCGCCGAGATGGTATGGAAAACTGCGAAAATGTTGGACGGGTACGATATTATTACCTTTTATATTCTGACCGTGCGTAGTGGTTTTATAAAAAATTCCAGAAGTAATGTTATGCTTACATAAATTATTAGGTTAACATATCTGCAATGATTTTACTTGAAAAGAAAATACATAATAAAAATGTTGCCCACGAAATAAATGTTCATGTTTTTATAACCGACAACAATTTCTCACCGATTGAATATTCACAAGAATTATTACATAATCAAATAATATGGGACCTTGTAAATGTGTTAAATGTAATAATTACACAATTAATACATTAATCAGTTAATTATTAATTGATATTTTCAGCGTGGTTCCGTTGGACACGAAGTACGAGCAAATGTTGATCGAATTGCAAGAGGCTATTGATAACGGAAAGGCTGGCGGAGATTGTCAAGTCAGATATAAATGTTATGGGCCGAATAATGTTGATCGTTTTAACTTAACTTGAAAAATAAAAATGTATAAAATGCAGTACTTTAATATATTTGATGGGCCACAAGTAAATCTGATCAACTAGTAACGAGTGTACCCAGGGCATTCCGAATAAATAATTGTTTGAGTATAATACGGCACGTAATAAATGGATATTTTATATCATATAATATGCATACATTTTATACTCGTTATTCATATATTATAGATTATAGATTTAGATGTTTACTTTTTATTCAAAAGTAATCTGGACCATTCAGTCATAATGACTGACAATCTTATAGATCAGATTTAAAATTAAAATAATTGATATTTATATTAAATTATTTGTGACTGTGAAGATGTATTTTAATTATTGTACCTTAGTACATAGCTTAGTCAGTATTATGTAAGAAAATTGTATAAATAAGTTTATGCAAAAGTTATACGGTATTAGTCTATATTGTTGAACATATTTTATTTTGTATTTTTGTGGTTGTTTTCAAATAATATAAATTTAAAACTTTGTTAATTGTTAAGAGATTTTTAATGAACTATTTTTGAAATAAACACTCTAAATGATTTAACAAATACAAGTAGATTAAGTATACAGGTAATGTAAAACGGTTTAGCTACAAATAATTAAATAAAACTAGCACAAATGCAGTTCATTTGAGCTTGCTACAGGAAATAAATACCATTGTTATGTACTATGTACAGTTAGGTCAGGATTACAGACAAATAGGGTGTTTCTGAAATGAAAAAAGGAAAATATAACAAGTGTACTAGTTACGACATATTTTAATTAATAATTTTCATCATTGGATTTTTTTCAATTTATTCTTAAAATACTTCATATCTTGAATCAAAAAAAAAAAAAAAAATAGCTGCTTTGATATCGTCGGTTAAAAGGCTATTAAGTGTAAGGGACACATTTCATACTTTTCAGGAGGACCCAAAAAGATTTTTTTCTTTCTTTTTATTTTCAAATTGGTATAACTTTTGTAGTTTTATAGATATGGTTTCAATTTTTTTTCACATATATCTGTTATATTAATCATTAAAATAAATTAAACTTCATAGGAATTTATTTAATTTATAACTTTTAATTTTTTTGTAATTATCTAAATTATATTCTTGGCGTTTACCACATTTTAATTTGCTTATTCGTACTTTTATCGCTTACATAATTTACCAAAAAAATGCTTCAAACCCTCGTCATAATGAATAATATGTCAATTTAAACAGGTTTTTTCTTAATTAATTTGAATAAAATGCAGTATTATTTTAGGATTTATTATAATACTCTTAATTTTTTCTTTTAAAAAATAAAAATAAACAAAAAAAATTATTAAATATTAAAATAACATTGAAATACAAACATAAAAAGTTATTTTTAATTTTAATAATAATTATTATTAAAAAACAACTTTTAAATATTGTTATATTATGTGATCCACCTTTTCTTAATCAAATTTTATAATTATTTTATTATCATCATCAATATAAAAAATAATAATTGTTATTTTGAATTATTTTGAGGTTTAAATCGTTATACATCAGCTCTTAACTTTCTAGCTGTCACAATCATTAAAATTACATTGAACTAACCTGAAAATAGTTATCGCATTTTTTTCTTATTTATTAGATACCACTTATTTGTTTACATAAAAAATATGCTGTAAGTGATGAATTAAACTGTTGTAAACAACAATATGGTATATACGTCATTATTAAAAAAAAAAAAAAAATTGGACGCAAAATACATTATTACGTCGCTTACTACTAGGCTAGATCTAGAGTAATTATTAGGGGAGGGGCCATTTTATATTGTGGACATAATATAATATAAAAAATTCAATAATTCTATAATATTATAAGTATTACCGTTTATCATAATTATTTCTTAACACTGTAAAGGAATAAATTTTCAACTAAAAGTAAAAAAAAAAAATAGGGAGGTACATTGAAAAGAAAACTTTTTATTTAAGAAAAATATGAAATTAAATTAAAAATTAAAGATCGAAATTTAATTTTCTTTTGGTTTTTTAAACCATGTAGCAATACATAATTGCTATAGAAAAAAATATTATTTTTATCACTGATTGACATATATAATATTAGAATTTAATTTTTCGTTTTGTTTCGTGGCATTTGCGGGGGTCTTCACTCCCATGCCCCCCTTGTTTCTGTGACTGCTCACTACTGCTCACTCAATTAATAATAATGTCACCTACATCAAATACTGTCATTTACATAACACTATTTCGATACCTATCATTTACAGCATTAAGTTTAATCATCGATAACACATTATAAAATGTTGGTACTCTATAATGAAAACTATCTATGGATCCAATAGAGCGGCGTCTATAGCAAATAGCCTTTTAACTGTCGATATTTCATTCGAAATTCTTATGCGAATCAAAGTGTGACATGTTTATGCTCATGCCATGGATTTTTTCTTTCGGTATTGTATGCTGTATCGAAAATATGTTATGGTTCATATGATAACATCGAGAACTTCACGAGAAAATTGGTAATGCAATGCATTTGTTGATCAGTGTACCTGATTAAGAAGTATAGTTTTTAAATTGTAAAAAAAACAAAACCAAGTTCATTTATTTAACAAGAAATTGTATTTTACAAGAATTGTTTAATAGATTACCATTTTTCTATATTTTCGACAATTTGCTACTTCAAACACTTAATTTTCAATTGCCTTTCCCTTCTACCTAGTAGAAAATTCCTTTTTATATTCCTATCTCCCCTAGGATACATCACTCCCGACTCAAATCTCTTTCTCAACTCTCGTTCCACTCCCATTATTTCTTCAATAATTAATTTTATCAATTCTGCTGGCATCCTAATTTAAATTAGTTTGTTGTTGCTTTATTTTATAATTATATTTTTTCTCTCTCTCTTTTTACTATCATTAGATAACCCATTATATATTTTTTTAAATAATTATTATATTGCTATAATATTTCTGATAAAAGCAAATAAAAATTGTTATTGTAAACAAAAAAAATCCGAATAATGTGTCTATACTTAAATTTATTTATGAATACAACTAACATATCGGTCTCCAACTATGGCCGACTTGATTGGTTAAATACTTACATTCGAGTGAACCATTAAAATACAATTCCTCACAGTCGATATAATACAATATATACAATATTGTTCTCATGCCGCGCGGATCCGTGGGTGGTTGAGCTTGGTATCGCGGTATGCATACCTAACATGTTAGATTAGACACAAACTGATATTTTTATAAAAAATTATTTTGTTGATAACATAATTATTGCTATAAATCGTGATAAAAATAAAATTGAGATTTTGTAACGATGGGTACATTAAAGGTATTAATATGAACTTACGTTCTCAATCTGAATAAGAAAAAAATGTAGTTATAAATGAACATATAATTATTACATTAATATTTTTAAATAATACAAGTCATTTGCAAACATTTAATGTGGACATTATGATAAAAATATTTTTTACAGGTTAACATTAAATACCACTTCACATTTAAAACAATATTTCAGTACTATAATATAGTGAAAAAAAAATTGTTAAACATAAAATAGATTTTATAGGAATGTATAAATTACACACATCAGTTGTTTACTTTAATAAAATATGCCATACTAATAATATTACATACATTGTTTAATAATTCATTTTAAGTTAATTTATTTTTAAATTCAGTCTTATATCGAATCAACTCGTCATTCATCACACCAATACAGTTTTCGAGATCTTTAATGGTTTTTTCTAATGATTTGATTTTTTTGTGTTGTACGATAATGTACTCTTTGGCCATTTTGTAACGTTCTTCAGGAATTTTGTGAGCATCCAAGTCTGCTAATGTCAGTAGTTTGTTGCTAGAATTGTTGCGTTTTTTATATTTTTTATCCAATTTTACTATAAAAAAGTTTTAATCATAATAATATGTTATCGTACATTATATTAAACGATTTACCACGTTAGTAGTAAATTGTGCAGTAGTTGTATTGTCTAAACATGATAAGATTTATGAGTATTGCGTGATTAATAGAATGGAAATGCAATGATTAGTTATAAGTAGAGTTCGGGACTAGAAAATTATTAAAATAAACAATATAAATATGTATGAAATGTCTAAAAATATATATTGAGGTAATTTAAATTATCACAAATAGGGGCGGTGCTAGCTTTTGCGAGGCCCTCATAAAAGCGCAAGGCCCCGGGCAAGGGCTGATCCCCCCTCCGTTGCGCCGACCCTGAACACAAAATAATAAAAGCCTAAGTATAAAATTTACGGGTCTAGTTTCAGAATTAAAGTGAGACGGTTATATTATCATAAAATTAAGTAACTTATTATCTGGTTATCTTGTACGGGTAAAAATATTCAAGATTAATTTAAAATAAAATACAATAATTCCTCTATCTAACCAAAGTTTAAATCATTATCATAATGGAGTTAAATAAACATATAATTTAAGTAAAGGAAATCCATAAACATTAAACAATTTTATATAAGTAATTTATAATATGCAACGCTTTTTTTCGTACTTATAAATATAAAGCGAAACCACATTATTCTTCTTTCGAGACTTAATAAAAGAGAATTAAAATTTGATTTGTCCAAAGGACAAGGGTGTACGAAGAATATCATGTACAGTTTATGGTTGTACAATTATAGTTTAAGTGTAAATATAAACTAAGCTACTCAAATCACGAAAAAAAATACACCATGCGGTAAATTTAAAATCGTTTTTGTTTGTAAAATTTTAAATGACTGTAAAAAAAATTCAATGAATACTATGTTTACATCCATGGTTTATAAGTCAAAAATACTTAAAAAAAAAATTGAAAAATCTGATTTTGGTGTTGAAAATAGGTGTTGCCATTAAAAAAAAACACATGTTGTATCGCGCATGCGAACACTGAAAGAGTTAAAACGTGAAAATTGTTCTAAAAATGTGTATTATTGTACCCCCTATATTCACCTCAAAACTTATTTCAATACAAGATCATCCGGATGAGATATTTAGTGTTACCTGAAACTGTTATCACACTGTATACATATGGGTACATCGTCGTCGTCATGCAAAAAATGACTAAGTGTAAATAAGAAACCAAGTTCAATAGTATGACCAAAATAGTCCTTATAGTTTTCATTTATTTTGAAAAAAAAAAAAGGGAAAACTCAATAATTCACCAAGTTATGGATTGTTTTATTTTGACTTAATGTTTGAATTATTTTATTCTACGAGGAATATTCTAGAACAGGAATTTGGATTTGAAAATTAAGTAATTGAAGTTTAAAAAGAACAAGAAATTGGAGAGAAAATAGAAGATAATAATATAATGAGATGGAGGCGAGGTCAACCGGAAATATGATAACAAAATGTAGTTAAAATAAGAATACTATCCAAGAAACCATTAACCATTAAATGAAAGCTTAAATGTATGCCAAGTTTTGATGAAGGTTATAAAATTAAATTAGGTATGTGAGATATTTTAGTCACTTGATTATGCACGACAACAAAATATTATTTTATCATGTGTTTTCCAATATTCTGTTAAATGACATGTGCCTATAACTGGTTCCAGAAATACTAAAAAAAGTTTTAAAATGTATATTTTTTAAAAGATAACATCCACTTCGAGTTCGCAAATCATTTGTTTTTAAAATATCCCGCCTATTAATTATGGACCAGCTGACAAAACTTTTGAAGGTTATAAGCTATAACCTTCAAAAGCTTTGTTGTTATAACATATAACGAAATGATTAGAATCCATACTGACAATAAAAGAAAGAATGAATAAGTAAATAAAATAAATTCTAACATTTTAAACTCATTAAAATTCACAGAAAATGTTCTACAGTTGAATCGCAAGTTGAGTCGGTCTAATATAAAACAAAAGTATTTAGATCCAACATTAAAAAAATGCATGAGTTTGAAAATCAATCAAAAAAGAAAATGAATCGGTTTGTGTATCTAATCTATTTTACTATATTTAAAGAAAACTATAATTTAGATTTTTTTAAACCTAAAAAAAGAATAGTGCTTCAGTGTAAGAAATTTAAAAATGACAAAACTTGTTCAAAAAGACGTTATAATAAATTATTAAAATCATATTAGAAGAATGGATGAATCACTCGCTGTCAAAAAATTAGATGTGGAACATGCACTTTAAATGAAAATATCTGCAGTGCAACTTCCGATTTGCGAAGTGTACAACAAAGTCTGTCATCAAAGATTCGTCTATGCATTATAACAGAAATATATAATTTTACAGTATATGAAGTTGCTTATTCGAAAAAAGCATTTTATTAATTTTATAGTAAGTTCTATAAAAATAATATATTTATTTTTTTAAGTTATTGTTAAGTTTACTGTAGCTACACAAAAAGTTCCGTGTTATTAGTATTATAAAAATAATATTCTGTTTATTATATAATTATTTTGTGTTCTATATTTAAATCACTTGCTTTACAAAAAATGTTTGTTGTATTATGTTGACTGATTGTTTTTACTAGAAAAGAAAATGTTTGTTTTGTTTCATTATAAAATTTAATTGTTAGTTTTTTCGAACATTTAGTGACAAAATTATTTGAGTTAGTTATTTTTCATCTGACACAGTAAGATGTCAATTGGTAATTTGTTTTTTCTATCTTTTTACAGGTTTTTGAACTACTCTCATGTTATTAAAAATATAAAATTAGATAGTTCAGGACTAAACATTTTTTTTTTATGGATTTTGTAACACAAAAATTGTTAAAATCGAAAAAGTTTATGATTTTCTAGATCATTATGGATACTAAATTATAGTTAACTAACCGACAAAGTGAAAATTTTCCTTGGACACTTTTTGCATGACGTTGATGATATGTATGAAATACATAATAACTTATATAAATCTCCACGAACGCACAGATATTGCAGATATTGAAGTTATTTTGAATATTTGACCTTGGACTAGGATTAAATAATTATATTTTTATATGAAACTTATCACCTAATAAATCGTTTATGTTATTGCTACATACAATCATACCTTCTGACGAATTGCGTTTGATCACCATCCCTTCACCAACCGTGCTATCTACAGTCATACGGATAGTTGGTTTATACTCGATGTGCACATTGTTTTGTTCATTTTCAGATTTAATGTCTAAAGTTGTACAATATCCACATAAACACACATCTAAAAAATATTAATTTTTATTTACAATAAATGTAAATACACTTGTGTATATATATTTATATATATATATACATGCAGGGCCGGCGAGAACTTCTGAGGGCCCCGGGGCTGCGGGGGTTCCGGGCCGCCTTTCCTTTGCAGTTATTTGACCGAGACGCACCAAGACCACTTGTACATGCTTTGGCACGACAAAAACATTGTATACAAGGCCGAAACGACAGTCCCTCTAGAACGTACAAGCCCCGGGGCTCTAGCCCTCCCTGTCCCTCCCTCTCGCCGGCCATGTATACATGTCAATAATCGACCAACAAAATATAGTCTAAATGTCACTTTTTATTGTAAAATCATCTACATACTTGAATTTAAATTGCACGTATATGATACTATCTGATCAATCCGTTCAGATTTGAGGGAGTTCATATTGAATGTCATACACGTAAGATCACCTGTAAAAATTAAACACATTTAGCCAATGGATTAAATAAATGTTCAATGTTCATGAATAAACTATTATTCAATTAGTGGAAATACCAGATAACTAAAAAAAAAAAACAATTAACATACAGAACATTAGCTAAAAAAATATATAGAACATAGAAACTTTAATTCATAAATCCGCATTAAAAAAATAAGATTTAAGTGTGTTATTATTTTTTTAAAATTCAATACAAAATGAAAAAAAATTAAAAGTTAATGTTTGTGGGTTTAAGGTTTTAGGTGTTGTGATCCCCTCACTCAAAATATATGAGTATATTCAACTCAACTTTATCTCATTATTTCCACCAAACATCTTCCAAATTTATATTTGTTTCAAATGTTCCTCCTCCCCAGAAAATAATTCCTGGTTTTGCCGCTGATTCCCTTCAATATTTGAGTAAACTAACCTATTATCAAACTCAAAATAAATAACATTTATTAGGGCGACGATATAGGCATGGGCTCCCGCAGGGGAGGCGAAAGAGGCCATTGTCCCTACTGGGAATTTTTGTTTCAAAACTATTGTTAATTTAATACCACGCATATTAGTTATAACATAATTTTATTGAGATCCATTTATGAAGTTTAGTAAAATTTATTATATTTTTAGATATTCTAAAATGTATAATCTTGAACGTATTTATTCGTTTACAATTTTTACATATGATTGCATATCGCTTAAGACAATAAATTCTCCAAAGTACCGATTTCTATGGTATTTGATTTTGTTCTTAAATATTTTTAGATACATGTTGTGACCCTTAGAATTTTAATTTTGCCCTGAGTGGGATTTTATCCTGCGGGCGCGCTTGGATATAAGTCTTTTATGATAATTCAATTTTAAAACAAGTTAAGAACTTATAAAATATTACAATATAAAAAAAAGTTTATAACTCGCTAAAAATTAAAATATCGTTAAAGTAAAACTATTTATCGCATAAATATTGCTCTTAGCCTTAGGTTTGATAATAACCTAGTTTACTATAATATAAGACAATATCACAAAATTGTAATAATATTACAGACGCATATTCATTATCTTATACGTTAGACGGCGATAAGATATGACGTATGATATTAAGGCTCTGTCAAACAGAACGCATTATTAACGTCACACAGTATTAAATTCCAAGTCATATTGGATGTCAAATATATATTGTCGGCGTAATTAACGTGGCGCTAGAACTCAACGTTGTACAATATCACAAAATCACGCGCGGTAGTGCGTTATTTTTGGCGTTCAGATAATGGCGAAAGAAGGAATACCTACATAAATACGAGTATAAATAAATATTAAATATTAACATTTATTTATATGAATTATTCGTTTCCATTTTTGTTGACTTTTAGTTAATGCGTATAAAAGTAAGTTTTCTTCGTCTGAACTAGTGAACGTATTTTCAATATAAACCACACCTCAAAAACGTACGAACAATACGACAAAATATAATAAAAATAACGAACAATATCGATTACTAAGAACCATTCTATAATGCGACGCTTTTTGGTTTCTGTGTGATGTGGATAACGTCCGCGATAATGTTCAGAACGCGGCGGTACTAACGCTACGTTAATAACACGGTCTGTTTGACAAGGCCTTAGAGGCCCTGATTAAATTTAATTAATTAAGGCCTTAATTGAATTTGTGTTCAGATTGTGAAAAATTAATAATAGAAATTAAAAATTAAAACAGTTAATTTCCTTATAGGTACATGCGATCAATTAATGTTAAAAGTTAGATCGAAATTTTTATTATAGTTATTTTTATCTATTTTTATTGGCTTTTCTTTAATAATCGAACAAAATTTAAGTTAAAATACTCAATAACTAATTACTCTAAACACTTACGAATTCAATTAATGAACGGTGTAAACCAAAGATTTTCGATTGCAAATTAAATTAACGTGTTGATAATATAATTGATGTTCGTTCAAAATCAATTACTCTACGTGTTATGTTGATTTATCACAAGATAGTTGAGGGATAGAAAAATATTTATTTTCTTCTGTTTTTGCTTACTTCAAAATGTAAAGTTTTGACACTACTATACGTAAAGCAGACGCGACAATGAACAATTATTGTGCATAATACAAATACTATATCATCAGATCATAGCACTGTTTATACGACTCATGCGAGTTAAAGACGTTTATCGCGATACGCTCTTATCCAACAATGAAAATAACTACTAAAACGTAAGTAATATGTAATAACAAAATAAAACCGGTTTATGATAGACACAAATAATTTAATAACACTTAATTCAACAGTCACAATATAAAATTGATTATTATATTATTACATTATACGCTCCACAACATAAAATATTTCTTAAAACTTTTCTATACTACGAAACATACATTTCACAATTTTCTATTTTCTTTAGCTGGACTTGCGTCAGCATACATGCACACTCTATCTATAGTGCTATTGTATTTTGTAATGGAAATCGTTAAAGTATTTATAAACTAATTTGTAGCTTTTTAGTGTTGGTATCATTAAGCCCAATTATATATTATGAATAAGTATAAATACGTATTAGTAAACAGTTTATTTGTAAAAAATATTAACTAGTACGAATAAATAGTTGAAATACAACTATATTTATCATTTGATTAAAATAGAATATTTTGTCTAAAACTGAAAATCAAGAAAAAAAGGTACAAAAAATCGTAGCTGGGAACAATACCGTAGCTACGAATTCAAATATTTTTTTGCTGACCTCCCGGTTTATTAAAATTATATTTGTTATTTTTCCGCCGTTTTTTTATAATATACGTTTCAATTCGTTATACTACCTTCAGTCGATTGTTTACTCGATTGTCTTATCGACCGGTGCTTTGGGGAGATTGTAGGAGGAGCAAATTTACTGATAATTGACGTTATATACCATGTACGCACATGAGAGAGAGTCAAAGATATTCTTACCTTGATTGTTTGATTGTAGTGAAGTTGCTTTAGTGGCGACCGAATTTTGGCCCAATCTAACATTGTTCGGATCATCTTCAACGTCACTGTTTCCAGTTAAGTCTATCCAATTCCGTGCACTCGACGAACCAGCTGCAGTCGTTACATTATATGCCGTTATATACTGTCTCGTATTACGTATAATATCTTAATTTTAGTTTCACGATTATAACATCACCCGTATCATCATGGAAGAAAATTGAAAAAAATTAAATAAATATACTATAGGTATCCAATAAATTATAATAAAAATAATAATTTGACAAATTTCTTGTACACCGTGATACGACGTACGAAAAAACAATTTAACCACTCTTTCGTGTACTTACGATGAGTATTTCTTTCGTGTCGCTTAAGATTGGTCTTGTATTTAAACAGCGATTTACATATTTCACATTCAAAACGAACATCGCTATGAGCTACCATATGTCTAGTTAAGCTGTACCTGTGGAGAAACGTAGCTGGACACTTGTCACAACCAAACATTTTAAGTTACGAGGTAATTGATATGGCATACAAAATAAATAAGAATTCGATCAATAAATCACTAAAATCAAAAATTCATTATTGCAGAGATATGGGTTCATTGTTTGGATCCATAAGTACTTCTTATGTCACTTCAAAGCAAACTATTTTTCCGTAATTTGTCGAAATAATTATTTTCATTAAATCTGCTTGAACTTTTGACACTCTGGCTTTAGATATATTTTTATCAGCGATTATTGATCTAAAAATAAAACAAAATAATGATAATAGCAACTTATCTTTGTAAAATTCATATTACACGTCAAATAACTTCATAAATTACCTAAAATATTGTTTATTCACAGTTTTCCATTTAATTTTGAACGTTAAAGTCTGGTCAACAAAGACATACCCGTAAGGCTACATGTACCTACTAAAAAGGAACGTTGAAGTGTAACAATTAATAATGATCGTGTTTATTATTCGGTCGGTTTGTAAAATCACACCACTTCTTGTAATAATCTCAACCCAATCCGATATCGGTGAAAAGTTAAAATATTAATAATACGAACAGCTGGCTGTCGCGATGTGTGTTTATTTCGATGATTACAATTATACTATAATAGGAATTCGATTTTGGCCTTCGGTGGATAATCCAGGTGGATATTCCAGCCGATAATCGGTAATGTGTATCAGCAAATCAGTAAATACGTATACATAATGTAGTTTTATAAAACGTGAAATTGACAACAATGACGATTGTCGTAACTATATTATGTTAATATCATTGATCATAGACATCATATAATCCTCGGTATGTGGTTTTCGGCTACCAAAGTTATGCTAACATGGGTTGCTGTCCGCCGATAGGTGGCGTGAATGAATAAAGGAAAATCAAATTTTTATCTGAAATGTCGTTTAATTATAATACAGCTTATGTTCTTATCACAAATTTTAATGCACCCACCACGTGCATTCCATAATATTGAACAACCTATCAGTCGGACTAAAATTCGACTGAAAATCGTTACCGGCGTTATTTCTACCGAAATAGATTTGGAGAAAAATAAAACTCGTCCTGCGATTGTTTGAACACCGACTACGCGCAATCGTGTATTTTATCGTCTATTCTACAATCAATGGTATTAAGTAATAATATTTCATCACGTATCTTAACATTAACAAATCTGTTTACGTAGAATGTATTATGCCGGTTTTCCACTAAACGGACAAAACAAAAACAAAACACAAACTCGTGTCGAATAAAACAAAACTGGAACTTTTCGCAAACATTTTGAAGACCCAACGTATTTTGCGACAGTTGGAGTTTTGTTTTTTGTGTCCCGCTCGGAAGCGGTAACATCAAAAGGTTTCGATGTGTTTTGAAACTCGAGTCTGTTTAGTGGAAACGGTCGTGTTGTGCCTGAAAACGAATTACGAATTTACGAAATCTGAATACGAATTCTGTACTTAAATACTAGACTAAGTTAGTAAACGAAAGTAATAATTCATCAATTGTGCAGCACCATCGTTCACTCTTCCAAATAAAAGTGATCGAACCCAATATCTGTGTTGACGTTTTCTTCTTCTAAAAAATAATACTATTTTAATCATAAATAAACTATAGCTATTACAAAATATAGATGTACGGTGGTTAAAGTATTTACTTAGCTAGTTTATAGACACATATAGTTACAGACATAGCTAGTTTATTATAGATACCGTACATATATACACTTACTTATTTTCCAAGGACTTGAGTATAAGCCAGCCATAACTAAAAATAAAAAAATCTTCTCTATTCATGTTGGTTGGTAATTTTATTGGAATATTATTATACATATATATATCATTATGTTTAATAATTAAGTAATAATAATAATAAATAAAAACTCGTAACAACCAGTAGAAAAGGATCGAATACAAAAACCAAACTCGAACGAAATGTAGCCCGTTTGATGGAAACAAAAGTTATGGTTTTGTTTCAGTTTGGTTTTTGTTTATCAGGTTGTAGAAGACTCGGGAACAACATAAATACAACTGTCCGTTTAGTGGAAAACCGGCATTACATTGTTATAATATTAACTGGTTGATAACATTGAATATTTTCCATGCGGGATGATATCATCATAAAAACGAGAAAATTCTTAGAGAGGAGAGGCAGACGGTAATTTTTTTTTATCGAAATGACTCCGGACTTTGCGCTAAAAGCTAAATTATTTTTCAAACCACTTGCATCCATCAAGTTTTTTTTGGCGGGAATGAAAACATTTTCCGCCCTTGATCAGTATTCTTACTTTTGCATTATATTATTTAAATATTGTATATTTAATTATACTACGATAAATAAAATGGATTTTTTTTTAAATCAATGTACGAATATTTACTAAGAAAATTATGTTGAAACAAAACAAACATAAAATTAAGTTAAATTACACATTATGGGTACAATTGTAATTCGTATTCAAGACCAAACAGAAAATATTGTTATTAGTCACTATATTCTTAGAATGTTTTTGAGTATTTACATCACACTATATGATGGCAGTATTACTTTCATATGCGGACTACGTACAGCAGTAAAATTACTTCATCAGAATCACAAAGTGGCAAGTCAGAATTTTAAATTATCGAAGATTTAATTCTTCAAACATCCACACTAGGAGTAAGATAATACCTACCTCTTTCCCCCCAGATTACGCACCTAGTATGATGAACAAATTTATAAGTCGATGAAACTTAAACTAATATGTGCAAAATAATTCTGATGATAACTATTGTTGTAACTATTATAAAATAAATACTATAAATGGTTTGTGATCAAGTAATGAAAAATATTGAAAATTAACAATGACTTATGTATAAGTTTTTATATACGTCTCCGAATTAGCCAAACTCCACTACAAAGTTTTAACAGTCGCTTAGCTTACCATAAAAAACCTGCAGTAACCAAATTATTTGTCACTATCACTACTCTATACTTTGTCTAATCGGTAATTTTATTTTATTTATTTAAATTTATCTATTTATTTCCATAAATTGTTCTTACGGTTTTACATTGCAACATATTGAATAAAAAAATCTGTAAAAACAAAAAAAAATGTATGCATTTTTAAAGTAGGAATATAACACAATACTTATACGGATGCACATGTGGAGATTGCATCTTGTAATGAACAAAACGGACTTCACCGCTTTGTTGTGTAAACCCTGTATAGTTTATTTATTATTTTAATTTTAATTTTATTTATTTATTACATATTTTCTTACCTTTTCCCAATATTTAGTTTATTGGCTGATGATTATGATATCATTGTCGACTTCTATAATGGACTACTGTTATAGAGGACATAGGAAAATATTTGATTTTATAAAATTAAGAAGCTTGATATTAAATGAGTCAAATCAAATGCTCAAAAGGAAAAACTAAGACGAACGGAGTGTTGACATTAATATACGACTAAGACTGTAGAAACAGACTGGTTTGTCGGAACGGAAAACACACACTTTTAGTAGGTTAGGACGTCGGTTTAATTACGCCTTCATATTAAATATTTTGTTTGGATAGTTAACAAATCGTGATTTAATTGTAAGATGTTTTATGTATGATTAACAATTTAATTTTAGTTAAATGACCAAAACTGTAATTATTTATTTCATTATTTTTATCTGTACTTAATTCAACTATATTATCAATTTTAAACTATTTATTAAAAATAACTATTACTAATATTACTAATTACAAATAAAATAAATATTATAATCGATTTCATATTCATCATTACTGAGCAATGAATCAAATATGAATCAATTCTAGAATTTCTAGAGTTATGGCTAATATCGTAATGATTTTATATTATCTTAATATACACATTATAATTGACTGAAAATTAAATCTACAACACAAAATTAATTCTACAATATGTTTTAAACTGAATAGCTATATAGTGCAGTTATACAGCACAATTAATGCTATTTTCAAACCATTTAATGCGTATGCTGATGATTTTTTTCATGTACTTTTATAAATATATTAAAAGACTTAAACATGCATTAATATTGTGTTACAAATTAATTTCTCGACAGTTTAGTATTTATAATTCTTTAAAACATCAAAAATTTATCACAACTAAAATACATAAATAATGTATGAGTGTTTAATAGTTGCCTATTATACAAAATTTGTAGTATAATAGTATTTTTGCCCCGTAATTTTAGTCCTTCGCTCAGTATTTTCGCCCCATATTGTACACTATGAAACACGATGAATTTGAAAATGGCTTTAACTGAAATCCATTATTGACTATTGGTTACGGTAGTGCTCTTTCCATAATATTTTATTTCGGCAAAATATTTAAAATATGTACTTGCAATTATTGTGTTCAATGAAGAATTTTTTTTTTTTATAATTATATATCATTCATTACAGTATAGAAAGATACAGAATTTAATGCATACGATAAAATAGTTATTAATTTATTACTTTATTTATTTTCATTATACCTGTGATCTTATTTACTCTAGTTATATATATTCTAGATATGCACATTTTTATTACCAACATAACATAATATTAAAATTATTGTAATTTAATTTGTAAACAAAAGTGATTAAAATAATTTTTTTATACTGATAATAATCTTCTATACAGCTTCCATGTTAATTTTTAATATTCATTCTAGTGTTTATAAATATAATAGTAGTTTACTCATAACTGTTAAGGTACCTTTTTTGGGTCATATATAGATACCTTACAATAACTATTTAGAAGTACGTTACTCTAGTACAAGTTTTTTGTGAAGCATAGTATTGTAAAATCTTGTTCAATACAAAATTGTTACTTCAGTTTACCGCGTAATACAATATTTAGAAGTGCCCAATTTCATGTATGTGAAGTCGACCGTCCACCCCCTATTTTATCATATTAATACCAAACGCGCACCAACAATTTGCAACGAAAGTGCAATATACGTATAATATACACTGTATATGTTAGTGAGTTATTTCAATAACTCATGATCAACGAGTCCACGGTCTTCATGTGTCCATCGTGAGCCCCATGCTATACCGATGATCCAATTGGATAGTCCATGTAAGGTTTCGGTGATATTTTGAACTCAAAATTCTACAATGTTATTATTCTAACAATTTATAGTCTTTAAAATGTGTAAAAACTGTAACAGATTAACTGAACTTGAAATTTTATGACTTTTCAAAAAATTTAATTGATTAAATTTTCAAATTTTTAGTTAAGTTTTTTTAATATATAAGATATAAATAACCCATTACTTTTTTATTCCAATAAATGCACACGATTGTGAAGGAAAATTTAACAATATTTAAAATTTTTCTTGTAGATACTTTTAAGATTTTAAGCGAAACGAGGAAAGTATTGGTTTTACAACACAATGTGGGTTTTTTTTTGGATATTCATAAAATGTTGACGAAAAAGATTGTTTCGATCAATTTGTTTTTTTTTTCTTCTAAAAAAATTTTGTAAATTAAGTTATTCAAGTTTAAATAAATTCAATAAATTCAATTGCGTTGTGTGTTTAAAACACAAATCAACAAACTTAGTAAAATATAATGATAGCATTTGAATTAGTGTATAGCACTGCATAATTAATGTAAAAAAAACTGAACTTAAATAAATCTAATTGTAAAAACATATTTTTTCCGAAAACAAATTTATATTTTTTCTATAATTACCATTTTATTTTAAAATATTTTCTCACGTTTTGTTTCAAATAGCAGTGAGGTGCAGTGATCACAAAGTTCGTTACAACACGTGTAGTCATCAGTTCAAACTCGGCTTGGTACAAAAATAACATTTTAGAGAATTAATTTTGTAGTATCTCTGTTTCTCCTGCCATTGTTTTGGTTGCACTGGCTTATATTGATTTCTACTGTACCAAATGAGAGTGAAGTTCGCACATGTGATAATACTCTACTTAGAGAAAGGAGTACAAATGATACTTCACTCTGCTATTCCGATTGAAAACTATATCGACAAAGACCTCTGATCGTTGTTTTAATAGAATATTAAAAAAAAAAAAAAACTTTTTATTTTGTTATAACTAAAATTTTTATTAACACGATTAAGTACAATCAACTATCAGTCATCTTCACTGCACCGACTGATAAAAATAATGTTCACATAAAAGTATAAAGTCATAAGTGCAATTATGAAGTGCTTAGCCCTATTTATAGCCTTCCACAAAAAACAAATGAAAACTACGTAGCACATTGTAAACTTGAAAGTTTTAGTCTCTTCCCCCCAAATCACATATACTATTTACGCCTTTATGTAAAATCCAGGGAAGTTAGTACTCATACACCTTTGTATTTATTGAAATAAGTTCAAACATTTGTACACTACCTTATAAAGGTATCACATAAAAGTGTATATTTTGATTATTATTTATACATTAAACATTTGAATAGAAACTGATTAACTAATTATATGTTCACAAATGATTTTATCGTTCAAATATAAACAAACAACCGGATCGAAGATAATGTGCATTACTTTGGTACTGCTTTGAAATTGATTTTCCAAACACATAGTAAGTATACACTATACATATCAGTGCAAATTAATTATTATGGAAATTTATTTTTGTATTTGTTATTTTGTCAACTCATTATTAACCTATTTATTTCAATGTTTCAATGAACCGTCGCAAAAACACAATAACTATGTTTTTCTGTTTTTTTTATTACATTTATTTGTTATTTACAACTATCGCTGTTAATAATATAATTTTTTATTCATTATATATATAGTTTTTTTTTTTTTTTTTTAATTAAATTTATGTTGAACTCGTATACGTACAACTTACAATTATTTTATTCATTTATATTTTCATACTTATTTTATTTTTATTATCACACATCCAATGCTTTGGAAGTAATCAATTTCTGTTATTTATATTACAGTAATCTTTTTGTAAATCATATTATCAGTTTAGAAATCATAAAATACTCTAATATTTTTTAAATTCTTAACATCATTTTTAGAAAAATTGTGCGTGTATGTGAAATAATAAAATTCTATATAAAAACAATAATAATATAAAAATAATTGTTATAAAATGGATTGACCTGTATATTGTGTAATAGGCAATTTAAATACATATAAGTCAATTTATAAATCTATATGTTATTTTTTACTTCAGAATTGAAGAATTGGATTAATAATTAATCCAATGAAAAATAAAAATAAAATAAATAATAATAATAATAATAATAATAAATAATTTAAAATTATTATAAAAGAAATTTTATAAAATTTATAATTCTATATAAATTTTATAATTGGATAGTTAACGACGAATTAAAATGTTACACATAGATATTTTCTAAAAAAAACAAACATAATTATTCCTTAAATTAAACGGATTAAAGTAGTAATAAATACGAACGTACTGTATACTGATCAGTGGCGGATTTAGCGTTTTGGTGCCCCTGGGCTTAATCGCTCTGGCCCCTCCCCCTATATCACTCTACTAAGGAACCAACAATATTTGGTCTAAACCCTTCTCTTCAAATTTTATTCGGTTTTTTTTTATCAAAAAAAAAAAAATATTAAATCTTTAAAATAGAAAACTTCTAAAAATAAAATATTTCATGTCTATTATTTTACTTCAGATACCATTATTACCAGTACAAATAAACAATGTTTATACAGTCACATAACGGAAATGTAAATGGCCAGAAAATACTTTTACTTGGATAGTCGGATGTTTCCAATAAGTACATAGGTACTAATAAGTTATTAATAATAACTAGTAACTAGCTGTAATTATTTTATTACAAATGAAATATTTTCAAATTGTAATAATAATTGTAATATTCTTACTATAGCCTATAGGGAACGCATCATACAATGTATATATAAATATATTATTATAAATTTTTAAAATTATTTTTATTCGTATTTATATGACAAATATAAAAAGAATACATTAAAATAAATATACCTAATAAGTCAATAATAACACTTAATTCTATAACAAAAAAGCCGCCATATATAAGCCTTTCAACCTGCCCCCCTAATCCGTCACTGATACTGATGATCCCGTTTAACTATGGGAATACATTCTAGAGAATTTCTGTAACGGAGATTGTTTTCCTCGTCTCGGGTTTTCAACTATAATCAATATCAACGTTGTCGTTTCTGACATTATTTAGGTATGAGCTATTTCTTTATAAAAATTCTACGTGAAGCTCTGTTATTGGTATTTGGTACTCAGTTTGAGCTTTATATTATGTAGTAGTTTTTTCAATATTTATCAGTCAACATAATTCTATTAATTCCTTGTTGCATGCATTAATAATAAAATAATAACATCTTTTTGTAGATGAAGTCTATGGAATGTTTTTAAGACAAAATCTAAGTAATATAAAAATCAATGCATACTTTATTTGTAAAACAATTTTTCACGAACGTTAGCCCAGCTCCCCTAATTATTAATTTTCCAATTTTTTTTTTGCACCATTAATTAGTGTTCAATTCCTGCCAATTCCTGCCATATTTTCAGAATTCCTGCTGTACCAGTTTTTCCAGAAAGTCGAATTTTCTACGGGTGGGGCTGGGGTAATGTTACCCCAGCTCCACCCACACTTTAAATTTAACTTTTTACAATTTTTTTTGCACCAATAATTAGTGCTCAATTCCTGCCCATTCCTGCCATATTTTCAGAATTCCTGCTGTACCAGTTTTTCTAGAAAGTTAAATTTTCTATGGGTGGGTATGTTTTTTATGGATGACGAATCTATGTACGAGATCTATGTACGTACACAATTGCTCAAGAGAACACAATTTTTTATACTATTGTTAAATATTGATATATTGATTCATCTGTAATATTATAATATTAATACAGTTAAGTGTATCTTATATTCACATATTTTGTCAAAATGTATAATTTTACGTTAATGTTGTTTTATATTGTTCCTGTAAAGAGTTGCACCATAGTAATTATTATAGGATACACAACGGAAATTTTTAATAGTATTTGTATTTGTGTTCAGCTCTAATAAAATCTACAATAAAATTTTTAAATTTTATTTAAAAAGTTTAATTGAAATATTTTTTAAATCTAATAAAATAGAAATTCAACAGGTACTGTCGTTTGTTCTTTTACTTGGACTGGATTTTTTTTTTAAATCGTCGTACTGCTTCCAATTTCTGCATACTCTTTTCATATAAGTTGTTTAATGATCAACTGTATTTATAATGAATATAAATTTTCATGATTTTCTTTGAACAAAATAATTTAAAATAGATAAACAATGATATTATTATGGACTATTAATAAATTTTTATCATAGTGGATTTTGTTATTATTGAAATAGTTTAAACAAATGCAGTATGCGATTGGTATAATGAGACCAAATACAAGCTAAATATAGCCGCAGAATGTAGTTTAATGTTATTAAATAAAACAGCAATAATAATTCTATTACATCAGAGGGGGTTTAAGTATTATACTTGTATTTAGTATTGCGAGAAATATAGGCAAATTATCTATTCAATTTTGATTTTAATAGAAATCGGTTTAAAACTGTATATTATAAAACTGAATAATAAATTACCACCGGAGGCAGATTTATCTTTTTTACGGCTATTGGCACCAAAAATTTGCGACCCCTATAATAGGTGAAGAAGTTATATTATCCCTTCCAAAATACCTAATCTAAATATTAAATATATAGACATATATACCTACATCCATTTGAATTTTTAGACAATTTTTTAGCTTTTATTAATTAGTCTACTTTGAAAAAATGTCAATGAATGTCCACTAAATGTAAATAAAAACAGATTTTTATAACAACAGCCTAGGATTATTTATATATAGTCGATTTAGTAATATAGTGTGACAGTGTAGGTATTTATTTTTCCCGAAATTTCGCGACAGCAATATCCGATAAAAATAATATTAATAACCATTGTTGCTTAATATAATATGAGTATATGACCCATAGTCGACCGTACGTATTTTTAACGTGGCAATGTAGGTTCTGGGCGGACTATACCAACGTGTTAAATACATATAGTATTAATAAAAACTGTTTTTCGTACAGTTGTTTTTATTTATAAAGAGTCATTATTATTGATTATAAATTGTAATGAACCAAAATAAATATAATAAGTAATAGAATATAAATAAGTTAAATTTAAAGTGTTGGTGGAGCTGAGGTAACGTTAACCCAGTCTCACCCGTAGAAAATTCGACTTTCTGGAAAAATTGGTACAGCAGGAATTCTGAAAATATGGCAGGAATTGGCAGGAATTGAGCACTAATTATTGCCGCAAAAAAAAAAATTGCAAAATTAAAAATTGGGGGGCTGGGGTAACGTACGTCAATTTTTCTCCGTTCGAGACAATATGTTACATGTGTTGTATAACGATGTTATAAGTATAAGACTTCTATTGTGACATGAACTTAATTATTCTTGTAGTTAGAAATCTTGGATCGCACACCATCACGAGGGAGTGATTCGGTAAGCATGCATGATCATAAGCGGAAAACATGAACATTATTCAGATCCATTATAGTTATGCGTTTCGATCCATTGTCTAAATTGTGTTTCCGTTACACATACGGTGCTCGGACGGCGAAAACAAACGAAAATCTTACGAGTTACGTGTTTTCGAAACTTTAATTGAGACACGCTGTCGAAGCACGAACAATATCCGACGCTTTTACTTCTCTGGCCGGTGGCATTACAAAATCGGCCCTCCGACCGACCGGGATCGTCATTCACGTGCCACGAAGACGACAAAGAAGCTGATATCCCGTCAACACGATATTTGTACGATACTCAACACGAACACACCATCATATCACGACTACATATAATCAGTATTGCGGTAAGTACCGGTACTTTTGTATACAACATGTTTCGTTAAGCGCAATTGTTCTCACGTTCATGAATGGTGTTCAGGATAAAATGCAGTCCCCCATAGGGATCGTATCCATGTGTATGCTGTTAGTGGTGACTCGATCCATTTCGGGACATGCGATCGACAGTCATGATCACGTGGAGGATGAAGGGGCCGACCAAAAACCGGCGGAACAGAGGGAATTGGACATGGAGTCGATATTCGCGGGTTTCGCCAAGTCGATGATCGGCCGGACCGGAGCGTCAAGTAGTCAAGTACAGAATAATAGGGTTTAACTTAATCTGTCGTAGGCGTATACGTAAAATTATATATAATATATAAAAGGGACTATGTAAATTGAAGAATAACGCGTGTGCAACGTATTGTTGTATATTATTTAGAACCAGCACTGTATAAATCCGGGTGTAAAAAAGAGGTTCAACCAGGGTTTCTGCAAAATGTCTTCTTTGACCACCCTGTCCGGCCCCTGTGAATTTTTCAAGATGGGCCTTGGATTATGCGATCTGCCCGACATTTTGGCTAGTATTTCATTATAATTTATACAGATACCCCACATCCAGTCCCATCTCCACAGTCTTTTCGAGAACCTTATTTCTGACTAAAATTTCGGTTTTACTTTCACTTCAACTTTCAATTTAATAAACAGCAATTTAATTATTTTTATTTTTCTTAACTCTTCTTATACTTTTTTGATAATTTCAATCGTTTTCTACGCATGATAACAATATAATATTATCAACTTTTTTGTTAACTTACAATATTTGATTTCATACAATGACTTATTCAAGATTGTTGATAATATTTATTGCTAAACAACACGTGATTTTTTCAAAGTATGAACTTAAATTTTTTAACTACTAACAGGCAAGCTCGAATTAATAATTTATCAAAGCCTTTTAGAACAAAAGAAACTTGACTTTTTTCAAAAAACTTATTTGATGGTTATGGGTATTCTGAAGATAATTTTGTAACAATCAATAATATAATTAAAATATCATGAAGACACCAAGATACAAAAGTACAATACTTTTAAAATTAGTCGCTGATAAAAAGCAACGAATTTTTTTTTTTGACAAAAAATATTCCATGAAAAGAAATAGGTTTATACTTTCGGATATCTTACTTAACATAATCCGGGCTTGCTAAAAATATGTGGACGAGTTTATTGCAACATTAACAATATTAAAAAAAAAACCTGTACTATATTAAACTGGACGACGGTTAACGATTTGCTTCAGTTTAATTTACATCTAACGATAAAATATACATTTAATTACAATTATAAACCATCATCGAACACGCATCACGTAAATATAATCACCAATCACTCATTTATACAATAATAATAAATATTATTTGATTCATAGGCACTATATTTACGGCTATTACCCAACATGTGTTTATTATTAAGGGATGTAATTCAAATAATAATAATTACAATAATATGTATTCAAATAATATGAATATGACTCTTTATTTTCTATTACTGTGTTGGATTCTAAACCATATATTAAGTATTAAGTTAGATGTTTATTTTAAACTTATATTTTGATTTTACTGGCTGTCAAATAAACGTATGTAGTGGTTTCCTATTAAATTTGTAAACTAATATAATAATTGAGCAATTAATCTCTACGCAAGATTTGTGACATAAATTGTGAACAGGCTGAAAATCACGTAACGTAAGCATATATAATCGAAAAAGACACATTTATCTTATCTGTAGAAAAATAAAATGTGAAAAGCGAAAATAAATTTTCAAAAAAGTCAGATACTTACAATTGTCATCTTGTTTTGTAGTCGTTATTAATAATTAGTTCTGTTTTTATAATTATTTTTTAAAAAATTTACAGTTTGTTTTTTTCAAGTGATCTATTATACTGAAAAACTTGCATAGCTACTATGAAAAAGCATAACTTCTTAAAATAAAATATGATACACTTGAGTTATTAAATATTTAATGTATAATTTTTTTATTTTCAGTTATTAGATACTTAAAATAAAAATAAAGATTCTTAAATACTAATAAAAAGTATTGTACCAAAAACTAATTTTCAAGTAGCTAATTTCTATACTAAATTATTTTTATCACTCCGATTATAACTAGATTAAGACTTATAATAACACGAATAAAATATTAGTGTATCGACTATCCATGGGCTTTAATCAACTGAAAACATTGTGTTATAAATCATTAGACTGTTGATTATTTTTATGAATGTAAGAACAATTTATTAAAGCAAACTAATATTATTGAGTTTTATCGAATGCTGATAAAATTAAACCTTAAGTTATTTAATTTAACTTAAATGCAAATTGATTTTAAACGTAAATCGTTATTTGATTAGTGAACATGAAGATGTTTCAAATTTAATTCTACATTTAACATTGATGGAAGCAATCATAAAATGTTTTTCGTCTTTTGGTTAGCTATATACATATATGTATATATGCATTATTTCCATTATTAACCTATTCACAATGTTTCCACTCTGAAAATTGTCTTAGTCCGTATCAAACGAAAACCGTGTAGACCAGCTGCGATGGGGCGTATAATTTCCTACTCACCAACCCAACAATTTCGAACACTTCACGCGGAACGTTTAGGGCGTATTAAAATATTGTATTGTATGGCTATGCCACAATTCATTCTTATAATTATGAAATAAAGTTTTATGTTTATGCAGGTAATGTGCGTAACGCAGAAATATCAAATTCACGTTTTACACTGTCCTCTTTAAAGCAATATTTTTTTAAAAATGTGCAAGCATACATATTGGGTTAAAAAATTAGTAGTTGACTGAAGACGACGATAAATCTCCTTAAATTTCTATTGGTTATTTATATTACTAAAAATATTTCATATTACTTACCACATAACGTTTATACATATTATTTGCGAATAATTAACTCATACTCGTAAATACGTGTGCTTGTTTTATCCAGGACCAAGACAAATTGTTCATATTTTGCAACTATCTCTCTGGATGGAAGGATCTGCTTCAATCAATTTTCAACTTTACATGAAATGTGGATTTATAGATATCAAGGGCGTGCCGAGAGAGTGGTTTTAGAGGTCCAATGATTCTGTGTGATCTGTTTGTAATTCTATACCAATTATAAAGTTCTAATTTTAATTAAGTCTCAAATGTATAATTCTTACCTCCCAATATTATCTCGGCCACTCCCTTGGTACTTATGAATCTGTTAAGTTTTTCGTTCATGTAACAAATAATGCCATACGTATAACGATAAGTTCACTGACAGTGTTTTCAACGTCTACACACGCGCAAACTTTAGTCTTACTCATTTTTTTTTCACGTTTTTTACGTTTTTTACTTATGTCAAAATCTACAAGTACGATAATCGATTCTTGGACCTCTTACACTTGACTTCTATGCCTACGTCTATTATTCAATCTGTTCGTTTACTTTTATCCGCCCTCCTCACCGATTGCACTATCAACATCCGTCGGTACACCGAATAAACGGTTTAATGACAGCTGTCGTCGTATTTTGTTGTCTAGTTGCTCAGTTTGAACCTATCGAACATCGTACTGATGCTGGTACTTAAAGGACTGATATGGGGTGCGTCGTACATGCAAGGCGTCGGCGGCGGAAAGGGCAGGAAGGAAGGGTTGGCTGAAGGAGCACCGCTGTCGCAGAGCCTGTTCACCGAGACGGACATGCTGCTGTTCCTCGGGTACATGGTGGCGGACGAGTCAGGCCACTATGACTGTTTGAACCGCGTAGCTTGCGAACAACCGGCCCGGTCAGAGAGCTACCTAAGAAGCGCCGAAATGGTCTGGAAGACGGCGAAGTTGTTGGACGGGTAATGCAGCCGTTATAATTGTATTAATAATTGTATACTAATGTGCGCGATCGAACACGCAACGTGCATCATTGTTTCTATGAAATCGCAAACTATATGACTTGTTCACGATTGCATCGAAGCGTGCCAATTTAAAAGTAATGTTATTATTATTATTATTTAGAGATGTTAAATGTTTTTAATTTTTTTTTTTTTTTTTGGGTAATTTACCGAGAATAATTTAGGAAAATATACCATAAATTCTGTACATTTAGTAAATTTTGATAATTTTTGTAAAGTCACTATAGGGACACCCCTAGAAATTTTTCACTTCTTTTTTTTTATGAACTTAGCTATTGCAACGCTTATATTTCTTATTTACTGGATAATAGGATATTCGTGGTATTCTTAATTTAATACGACTTAATATATTTTATAGTAAACATAGTTTCATAGATACTATCCACAGTTGATATAGTATAATAGTGACTAGTATCTACAGTCGTAGTACTGTCATAGGCATGGTTATAGTTCATAGACTGCAATGTCAATAAAATCAAAAATATATAAATATTATAAATATCATGGTTGTAAATAAATATTATATATTATTTCTACAACCATGTTATTAATAACCTAGTTAAGAATGTTTAATTTAAGGTGTCGCATGCTAATTTTTTCGGTAGAAAAATTATTGGCAAATTTACCAGTAAATTATTATTATTATTACGCATGAGTATACGAAAAAAACAACAAAAAATTGACAAGTATACATAGTAGTACGACGCGTTACCTGAGTGTATTTTTACAATAGAATTTAATATTTTCAGTGTGATCCCGTTAGACTCGAAATACGAGAAAATGTTGATCGAATTACAAGAAGCCATTGAAGATGGACGAGCAAACGGTGATTGTCAAGCAAAGTACAAATGTTCAGAGCCGACCAACACTGAGGACAGTTTCAATTTGATTTAAAACTTACCGCTAAGCAAAGTATTAATATAAACTATTCGTTGAATATTGAAGTCTGACCAACCATCTGTAATAATCCCTGATTATTGTATTGTATACCAATGTAAACGTGAATACATAGTTTAGCAATACAAATTATAATGCTTACCTTAATATTTTATTTTTACTCTTCGTAAATATAAATATTATAATATGTATTAACATTCAATAATGTCGTTCAATTTGCTATATTATTATGAACATACAATAATTACAGAAAATAGGTACGCTTGTAATTAATAGCTATTCATTATTCTCAATTATCTCCGATGACGGCAGTTTGGATCATTGGGTATAATGGTAGGTGTGTTTTAGTTAATCGATGACATTTTTGTTTACGAGTCCACACCTAAAATTTGATGCTGAAGACATGATTATTGATAGTTAAAATCCCGAACACTCATCCATCCGGGAGCTAAAGGTGACAAACGCATCTTGTAACCTTCTCTGATTGGTAACTACGCCATAATATTTGTAGCCCTTATTAAATTGTTATATTTTATCGTAAGCCATTATATTTTAATCATATACTTTAACGATTTTACAATGTGTATTTTATTTTTCGCGTATCAAGTATTTTTTTAAATAAATACTATTGTGTTTTTTTTATTATTATATAAATAAATTATACATATATTTTGTTGATGTTTAATTTTGACATGATTAAAAAATTTGGATTGTGAATCTGTGAAACATAATTACATTATTTTATTTTACTATCTACCTTCGTAGTTATGTAACATTTTATTTTTAATAAATTATTCAAATAAATTATAATAAATTATGAAACTTCATTCAAATGAATACCATAAGAAAGGTGTCACTTTTTTAAATGATTTTTTTTTACGAATAGGTATTTGATAAAAATCAGTACTGAGAAGATACGGTTAAATAATAAAATAAAACAAATAAAACATAGGTAGCAACAAAAATCATATAAAAAATTAATTTTGTTTGAAAATATTGTATAAAATTTATCGTCGATTATAAGACTTTAATATTTTAAAGTGTAGCTAAATAATAAGCAAGTATAATACAAAGTGCAAGTCCAAATTTCAAAATATATTATGAGGTATTTAAAGAATCATTGGGATTTTACAATGGTTTAATCTTAGAAGTCAAATGTAATCCTATATATGAAGTAATAACCCACCTATGGGCTACGAACTACTACATCATTCTTTTTGATGATCTCACTATATAAATGCTTAAAGTTGTAAGATTAAAATAGACATTTTTACGTAATTTGTATTGTAAACTAAAATATGTGTTAATGATTGTCGATGATTATATTCTAGTCTGTTTACTTAAGTTAAGAAATTTTAGATGTAGTTATTCCATACCATAATAAATTTCGATTTATTTTTCCTATTCCTATTGCTCAAATACTACAAAAATTTTAATTACATTTAAATTGTAAAGATTGTACTTCTTCATTTATTTCAGGTACTATTATAATATTATATCTTCATTTTAATTCGTCAGAGAACTATTTAATTGACTATAAAATTATTTTCTATTCAAGAGAACAATATAACTACAATCAATTTCCAAAATAAATTCAATAAAAAATATCAGTCGTCAATAATAGATAACAGTTATAATTTTAATTTTTATAAACCATTGATGACCTTTGTTCAGTTATAATATTATCAGCTACTAATAAATCAGTTATTAAATCAGGTATAAAAATCTAATTATATTATTATTTGTACGGTATATTTCGATTTGTTCTCATTAATATTAATTTTCTGATAAACGATTAAATAAAATATACTGTAGTATTATTGTCTTTGACGCGGTGCAATTTGATCATTGAAAATATTTTGTAACATAAGTAGGTGGTCATCATGTCAGCATGTGGATCAGACTTGTAATTCAAAATCGGAGATACAATAAGTATGAATTATATTATTTAGATAATGGACTGACGCCAAAGAAGTTTTCGATTGTAAACATTTTCCGCAAGAAAATCGAAAAGACCAGTTTCATTTATTCGGGACCTTTTGATGCAGTTATGCATTGTAATATTATTTTCTTTTTTTTTTCGTAATATCGATTTCGAGTTTTACATCTGTACAGAATGACGTATCGACATCTGTTTTCTATTGTTTACGTTAATATGTAAAATATTTACGTCTGCGTTGAGTACATGTTCACGGTGATACTTGTTTGCGCACAGTACACAATTTTTTACCTGAAAACTGACAATTCGTTTGCGTACAATGAAAAACATAACTACGTTTTGAGTTATCATACCACTACTATATGAATATTGTTTAGTTGAACATGTGATGTTATCGAGATACGAGTTACTGGTACTTAAGTAATTTTATTTACTGTATTATTAATACTATTACAACTCAAAAGACAATCAAAAAAACTGATAGAAAATGCAGAACGTATTGGGCTAGAGATAAACACAGAAAAAACGGAGTATATGGTGGTCCAAAGAAAAGTACCTTTAAATAATCAAAATAGTGGGTTGGAAGTTCAAGGTCATACGTTTAAAAGAATACAACAGTTCAAATATCTAGGTGCCATGTTAACACAACAGAACGAAATAAATAGTGAAGTGAAGGCGAGAATTCAAACCGGTAACAAGTGTTACTTTGGGCTGACAAAGTTACTGCGATCCAGAAAACTTTCAACAAATTTAAAGATTCAGATATACCGGACATTAATAAAACCAGTAGTAACTTATGAGTCGGAAACATGTACGTTACGGAAGACGGACGAAAATTCATTAGTTGTTTTTGAAAGAAAAGTATTTAGGAAAATGTATGGTTTATGTAAAGATGTCAATACTGGGGAATGGAGAATCGAAAAAAATAGGGAACTAAAAGAATCGAAACCCGAGTATTGTGGAGGACATCACTAAGAGACGACTAATCTGGGCAGGACACGCTTGGCGTAAAAAAGGATCGCTGCTGAGAACAGTGATAGAAAAGGTTTAACAAGGAAAAAGACCGCTGGGATGCCCTATATTAAGATGGGAAAACAGAATAAAAGAAGGCGTGGAAAATTAAAGCCAGGAGAGGATTGAAAGGAATTATCGTTAGAAAGAGAAAGTTGGAGGTAAAATTGCTGGACGGTATGGTCTTGAAAGCCGAAAACCACAAAGAAGAAGAAGTAGTAATATTAATATTCAAATATCAAGTGTTTTTGAAAGGCACAGAGGAAAACTATAAGTATAGCGAGTTCTGTGTCTTAAAATCAGGTGATATGTTGTTTAGATGTACTAATAAAAAATGTACAATGTAAAATCTTTTGCTATAGTTCTAAACTATGTTGTTTTAAAAACAACAACTAACTATTGTTGAGTTGTACATGTGTACGCAAACGAGTCGCAAAAAAGGTTAAATGTACACAAACGGGTATCGCCACATGTTCATATTATAGTTTAATGTACCAACGGATTAAACTTTATGTAATAACGACACAAACCGTATACGTATATACATATATACGTAAATACATAATATTACCGACCTGGTAGATTTTTTCTCGATAAGATTTTTATCTAAAAACAACGTTTTCTCCGAGCGCACGCGCTTATTATTATTTTAATATTGGCACGTAATGTTGTTTGTCATGAGCGTGCACAACAATTGCGATACAAAACTTTGCCGTTTGCAAGACGTAAACAGCTGTTTTAACGTATACAATACAGGTCGGAACCGTGTAGATTAATCGGCATTTCTGCGCGCACGTTTTCCGCCGTGACTCCCGACTGCCGAATCGCTGTTTAAATAATATGCGTACATTCAAAACACGCGATGCCGTTATCTTCGTCATTAAAACTCTAGAAACTTTCAGCACACGGTACAAGCGAAAATAATATAAATCAACAAGGCTGGCCAAGTAAGCTAATTTCCTTAGCACGTGTAAATCGTGTTAATATGGAGACATTCAAGTGACGTTTAAAGTTAAAAGTTATTTATCTTTTAAAGTCGAAAGTTAAATAGAAAAAAAACAACTCAAATTGGTTTAAAACGAGTAACTTTTTTTCCAACTGATTACATTTTATGTAAAACTATATTTATGTACGTAATTGTTTTATCTATATTGAAGTCCAGGAATAGAGCGTACAACTCTACAGTTATATAATTTATTTTATTAAAAACAATAATATGTACAATAAAAATAAAAATATTTTTGTCTCTGGTTTATGAAACTTAAGTTTAGAACAAACGTGATTATAAATTAAAATAATTTAACCGTAATGGAAAACCGTTAAGCTCTCTAAGTTAAATGTTACTAAAAATTTTACAATTCAATTCGTTAAGTAATAACGTTTATAAAATCCCTTCCTTGTCATGCCAGCAGTTTAAAAAAACGATCGGCCAAGGGAATTGTCAACCAAATTAAACTAGATAAAAAAAAACTACACACAAAGGTATGTGGCCAAGGGGTCAAGAAAACGGAAAAACTCTATTAAGTATCTAAGATAGGACACACACACCCACGCGCATCATCTGCACCTCACGAAGATGAAATATCTCCCTGTTTGTACCAGAACCTGTCAAACACAATGAAACACATTCTGGTTGAATGGAACATTTTCGTAAAGTAAAGGAGTTGATTGCGCGTGCCATTTAATCTGTCCGAATCTTTTAACCCAGACCTATCCCAGCGATCGGTCATCCCTCAACTTTCGACGATATATAAACACTTACAATAATTTAACAAGTACTAATATTGCGAAGATTTGTAACTCTCGCGGAAAAACATTCGTAAACAATTATAAACACCTGACGGCAGTAATGTTCGGTGTCTCATTGATGCCGTGGACCAAAGCCCGTAACGGAAAAAAAAGAAAAAAAAAAATGTAAGAAAAACCAATACATGATCGCTGGTGCCAAGTATAAAGAAGCGCGCGTCCACGGCGTAACTTCTGATCGATATTTTAATAGAAGTCGATTTAAACATTAAAGGAGAATGAAAACGTTTTCTTCGTGCCGCCGTAGCATTGTGCGTGGTTACGGTGCGTTATCGCGGTGAGAGGAGTCTCCGGACGGCGGCGGCGGCGATCTACCCATTCTCGTGCTGCTGTAGCGACGCGCGGCCCACTGTTGTTGTACCGTCGGAATCGTGTCTCCGACGTGTTCGCCGCTTCGATCCATTACCGTTCGAGACCTAACACGCCGCAAACACGCGTCGTGTTGGTTTTTCAATTTTTTTTTCTTTCCAACCTCGTACCGCTTGTCCTGGAGTGCTCTCGCGGCACAAGTGTCGCCGTTAACGTTCGCAGTGACCGTCCGCGTAACGCGCAAACTTACGGCCGATCGAGTGTCGATTATAATCGTCGGACCTACTGCTCATTTCGTTACCTTGACGCGCGCACGTCCTGCGAGCCCGTCGGCCCCGTTGTATCCCGTCGAACGACGTTCGGCACCGCGAACACGGACGACCGCGGTCCGGTGACTGTTTTTAGCGCATTACGGTACCGCCTGTTCGACGAGTACCCTTTTCGGCGCCACACCGGACCATCAACGAACGATACGCCATCCGGACGGACGCGCAGACTCCCGAACAGGACCCTCCTGGTGCATCCCTTTTCGGCCGGTCGCTCAAAACCGCCCCGATGCGAATTGACGTGTTTGTGTACTTCCTCACAAACTGCAACAGCACTCGGTAAGAGTATAATAATATTACGCGTCGTTTTTGTTTTACCTTCAAATGTTTTTTCTTCTAGCGCTATTATAACGTTATTTTATTTTTTTACATAAAAAAAAATAAACAAACACCGTTGTACACACGTGAACCGCGTGTACATTCGATGACTGCACGAAATATTAATTAATTCCTGGAAATTTTCATTTTATCTGCAATCCACTTTTGCCTAATTTTAATTTACTTCTGTGTCCACAATGCATAAATTCGAGTGAAATTGGTTTTTGGTAAACTGATGATTCAGATGTTTGTCCAGGAGTATTTGTGTGTGAATGCGATGACTAGTCTAATCATGTTACCTCGTTGATCAACATTGTAGTAAATTAGTTACACCCGTGTTTATATTTAAAACGTTTGGAAAACTTCAAATACTCTTCCAATATCTCATAGAAAGTTCGAATTCAGTATGCTTCGATTCTAAGTATAATTAAAAAATACAAATTTATACTTCAAATTTAGATTAAAAACTTAATATTGTTTGAATTTCTCTATATTGTATTTACTAAGCAAGCTTGTTAATAAAAATATATTAATATCACCTTGTTAACATTGAGTATAGTTGTTGGTCAATTTGTTGGTATCGATAAATCGTCACAATTATAGGTGTATACGAACGTAGTGTATCACATTTGTTACAAAACGTATCTAAAGATTTCGACATAATATAATCGTATAATGTTTACTTATAGTTTACGTTTAAATATTAATTCGGGTTCGGAACTGTCGGAACAATAAAAACAAAAAATCTTGAAATCGCATAAATATACACTTTTTTAATTTAAATAACACTTAACTGAACTGAGTAGTCGGTTTACTATAAATATTATAATTAAAAAAAAAAAAAAAAATACACACGCATAGAAACTGGCGAACCGCAATTGTTGCGAATTCGTGTGAAATTGAAAAATTGTAGATTTTGCTTACGGATAAGCTGTCCGACCGGAAACGGATGTGGCCGAGAACAATATACAGCGGAGAAACGTAATTGCCTTTGCATCATTGCAGTCTGCACAACCTAGAAAACGTATGGCAACACGGGCAAATGTTACAATATGTTCGCACAGTGTATTACGGTCTAATCAAATAGTATTGGAACATGTGCGAAACTTTCGCACTGATCTGGTGTGTATAAACAGTGTTTTTTACAACGCGTGTAAACATATCGCAGAGTAAACATGTACCGACCGGGAACTCGCAACGTTAATCTCGTCCGTTTGTGAATCGCACAAACACATGGCGTACAAGCACCAATGCTCCTTCTCTCTGGGAAGATTTCACTATTTCACCAAACACGTACTGCACACTTTTATCATTATTTACTTTGTCGATTAACCGAAAACGAATTCCAACCGTTTTCTATACTCGCCCGCGCGACGACGACAACGCCGTTGTCTATTGTGTACCATTTCTAATAAGAATTTACTATTATCGGTCGATTTTTAGCGTTCGTGACCGTTTCATTACTCGTGGGTCCTTGTCTCGTGCATGGTGTGACATTTATTTATATATTTATAGTGTAGTATTAATTTGATCGTGTCGATAACTGCGTTCGTTGACGCGGATACGTCCGTTAAACATGATTTACAATCAGTCAACGTGTTCTTCGATAGTTAATAGGATTTATCTGATTGTATATGACACGACGGTCAAAACCAATATTTATTTTATGAATTCAATGTATTCGGAGAGTTGATACTAATATGACTCTTACGCGCGCGTTTTGAAATGCGCTAAAATACATGTTCACATGCTACGCACTATAATAGCTCTACAATGTAAAGCACTTACGTACTTATGTCACAAGTATTGTACTTTACATGCTCGTCGGATTACGATGCAATTGTTCAATAGATAAATGGAAGTTTTTTTTGCTGTGTAATATTTTGATAAAGTATACATCAATGTATTATTTATTTATTTACTATTTGTAATAACGTCCGCGAGAGCAGAGTTCTGGAGTACTGTTTGGTATAACACAACGCGACAATTGCATACAGAAACGATTATAGGAAAAAATCACAATAATGTTTGAACTTGGAATTCTGATCAAGGAAATAATTGAAAATAAGTATTATACGTTCATATTGTTGTAAAGTAGAATTATATTGATATTGATTATAGTTTTCAATTTTTTATTCTCGTCTGAAATATTTTCTACAGTTTTATATTATATATCGTACGTGACTATGTAGTTAATATCGTACCATTTTAATATCGAAAGAGAGTATTCATCTTCTCAAAATCTCATTTAGATAAACCATAATTCAAGTGTAAGAGAAAATTAGTGTTGAATAAAATATATATGGAAATACAAATAGCGAGATTTTTTCACAGACCAAATCAAACTTTCGATATAGCATAAAAGAATAAAAAATGTATACCATGCTATAATAGTTAATTAGCTACTGCGTATAAGTATAACGTATTATTATAATGACGAACTTTTTTTTTTAAACCCTTATCACTAATTTTACATGATATAAGGCAGTTTTCGAAAACTTTCGTTTCAAGTTATGGGCAAAATATTTCAAGTTGTGAATGTTAAAGAATTTTATATATTGTATATTTTCTTTTAAACATTTAAAAAAATCAATAAAATTCAAAGCTCTATTATGTAAATATATGTTTATACATTTAATAATGCTATCAAAGTTTCATACAGATATTTTGGTTGTTTATAGTGAAATTCCCATAAATAAAAATATTTCGTTTGATGAAATCTTCTTGAAAATTCAAACGCAAAAATGTATTTATGTTAGATGAATCTAGTATTTCTGTATAACGAATAACTGTAGATAATACTTAATAGCAATTGGAATTAAAAACCTTTCATATTTTCTCATGTAAAATAATCAGATATCTAATCAGAAACAACGTGAATGTGATAAAATCAGCTTTATTAATTTTTTGAAAACTTATACATTTTATGTATCGTAGATATTATTGATTCAGCTTCATTGATAATGATAATATATGATATTATATTATATTATACTACAGTAGAAGTTATTCGAATTGAAAATTAAAATTAAGATGAAAATAATTAATCACAGAAAAAATAACTTAAAACGCGTTCTCTATTCTAAAAATTGATTATATAATAAACAAATAGATTTCGGTGAATTTTTTTTAAAAATTGATTAATGAAATAGAAACTTAATAAAAAAAAACTGATACTTTAAAAATTACTGGGAATCGAATGTTTACTAATTATTTTGATTTATGTTTATTTATATAAAGAAATAAATTAGAAAAAAATGTTATTTATAGATTATAATACATTTCAAACGTCTTTAAACATAACATAATAATTTAAATTCCAACTTTAAACATAACTCCGTAATAATACGCCTACACGAAAATAATTTTTGTGAGCACCGAAAGAACAGTGTAGTACTAAAAAGTAAGAATATAAAAATTGTAGTTCGTTGATAAATACATTTTTATTGGGTATAGCTTTAAAAAACTTGAAATTGTTCACCTAATAAATGTATACATTAATTAACGTGTACGAAATATATAATATGCGAAGCGCGAGTAAATCGTTTGAAATCGATTCGTTTATAAATGATAAATGTACCGACCGATATTATGTGTTTACGAATGCATACAATTATATCGCACCGGTGGTAAATGTGTAAATTAGTATAAATAAATGAACGACGTGCGTACAGATCAAGAATATGTATACATATATTTGTATATAGCGGATACGAACGTGGTGCGTGTCGAGGAGACTTTAACGACCGGATGCGCGGCAAAATAACCGAGAAAAATCCGTATTTCGAACATCACGTCTTCAACTCGAATGTCCGTTATATGTTGACGTACGCCATGGCGAAAAGTGTAAAAAAAAAAAAAGAAATGCTTTTTTCGTCTTCTCAGTTTTTTTTCTTCTGTTTCCACACGTTTTCTTTCGATATTTCATATTTATCACTACTCACTTTTGCTCATTATGTTGTTCAACACAAGGAACGCGCGCGCGCGCGTACAAACACACAAACACTCATTCACATACATGTACACACATATACATATGTATGGTACGGATCGTGATAATAGATGCGCCTGAGTTGCACGGTTGGCCGCGGATTTATAATAAATCAAACGGAGTTCGGACGCGGTACACAAATGATACTTGTCATCATGTCTTCCAGTGGAAATATGGAAATTATCACGATATACGTATTCGGGTGGTATATATATATGTAATTTCACATATGTTTTTTATGGTTTCGATACAGAAAAATATATAGGTACTACACGCATGGATTGCGTCTACGAGTATGTGTACATGACAAAAAAATGAGTATATATATTATTATTATTATATTGTTATTATATATTGTTATTTAACTGTGAATTAATAGATACGTATTTTAGCAAAGTTCAAAAAGAAAAAAAAATTCGAACTTCATTAACAACGTGAGAAATATCGTTTTTGGTAAGTTCTCATATACTTTACATGTACACTTGAGTACATGCAGTATCATTTATTTTTCGAGTAAGACTAGAATAAAAAAATAAAAAACAGAAAAAATACACATTACCCTACTTTTATTTGCACTATATATATATTTATGATAACATAATACTAATAATAATCTGAGTCTTCTAATTATTTTCGTTCATCTGGACTTGCTGTGCGTTAATTGTAGTCGCAACAATAATAGGGTCATTTTAAGTATAATAAAATCCATTCATTACACTTTTTAGTTTAATCGCCCGCAAATAATATTCCTTAAAGTGTGACAATAGTATATATATATATATAAATTATGTTCTGAAATCTGTGTGAAATCTATGTGTCCATAGTTGATTATTTACTGAGTGTGATAATTTGTTTGTAATTTCATACGTTTTACGATGATTTGTGTGTTTTGTAATTCTAATGCGCTTTCTAAATATTTATTTGATTACTGAATTGTTAATACTTTATGTACGATTCGATTTCGATTCGCGGTTTTGTCATAGTTTTAAATTTATAGTAGGAGAAAATACCCATATTAATTATTCATTTATTTTTTCGATTTTAAACATCAAAATACATATAGATACTATACATTACATGCAGTGTTTATTTCAAGGAGGTTACTGGAGGGGGGGTAATACCCTCCCGACAAAATATATGACATTATTACGTAAACTACAAATAATTGTGATGCGATAATATGTGAAACGAGTTATTGTATAATCGTGAGTTATTTTGTGCGTCACGGTTGATAAAAAAAATAAAATAAATATTTAGTATAATATTTTTTTGGGGTATCATCAGTAGTATCAGGCAATTCAAATTCAGGTTATATTAATGTCATACTAGAAAATAAGCTAGCATAAACATTTTTTTAATTTCTTCTATTACCATGTAAGCAAATTATTATTATATTATTATTATTATTATAGGTATTTAAATGTATATAAGAGATAGGACGTACTAATAAAGTAGTTCTTCCGTGATAGTCAGTAGACAGTAGACACGACGACTACAGAAACATATGCGTTATTTTAATTGTTACTTTTAAAAAAATTATATTTTTTGTGTCTATAAGTACGATTTTGTTCGGCGTATACGACATACCTTTTCGTATATCAATAGTCAATTAATGTGTATCAAATTGTATGTCAACATAATTGATTTTAGATATCTTATAGCATGTGGGTAATTTTTAAAATGTGCTGTCGTCTGTCAACTTAAATGTTAACGTATGTATGGTAAATGTCTGTTCTATTTTTTTTTTCATACAATTAACCAAAGTTAGGTTTTTTAGAATTTATGCATTCGTTTATCTAATAATCTCTAATAATATCTAACCAAAAAATTGAACTTAAAACGATACTTTTATTTTCCCTTAATTATTTACTTCTAAGGCATACTCCCTTGGGAATGTACGATACCTCCTCCCCCTCCGGAATAGGTCTGAAATAAACACTGATTATATGGTTAAAATTTGACTTTATATTGTGATAAATTAACCGATAATTAACCGAACGCAATTAAAAGTTGGGGTTCAGTCTAAAATTTAAATGATAAACAAGGGTAAATAGA